CTTTCGTGGCCGTCCTTACACTTCTCAAAGACACCTGTTGCTTCTTTTCTCTTTTTCCTTTCCATCCAGCCACTTTGGAATCGGTTAACAATTCGCACCGATTAATTGGGAAAATCTTTGGAAAGGAATTATTCAGAGGCTGGAATCATAACTCTGACATTTATTATTCCCACACAGAGAAGGTCATGTATGATTGAATTTACATTTGTTAGACTTCATTTTGCTTATCTTCTTTAGCAAATGGAAAGTGGTTTTTAGAGGATTCTACTGTTTGCCTTTGGTCTCAAGAGGAATTTAATTTCTTCAGAAACAGGGCCGGCCCTGAGAAAAAGGGCCCCTTCACATATATGACATGAAAAAAAGTAGCTGAAATAAATTTTATAAAATTGATATTAACCCTTTCGCTGCCATGGCAGTCCCATGGGCCCGGTGCTTGCCTTTTCATTTGGGCCATGGTGACCACCATGAATTTGATAAACTGCGTCCAGGGCCCGCGGTGGTCACGGGTGACCAGCATTAAGAAAAATGTGCTATTGGCAAGATTGTACCGTTATTTTAATATATTTCCCAATTCTTTGCCATTATATAATTTTTAAAATGAAATTTGTATTGTGGCCCACTGGTGCAAGTTTAAAAATTCCCGTGGCAGCTAAAGAGTTCTTGCATTCTTGCAAAATCGTCTTATGAGGGCCCTGGACCTTGGGGGGCCCTAGGTCGCCTAGTCTGCCTAGGCCCAGGGCCGGCCCTGTTCAGAAATGTTGCTAATCTAAAAGGAAAAGGTTGTATGAATATCAAGGCTACCCTAATGGCATAGGTCAGATTAGGATCTTTTTATAATATCGACCTACTCTATCTAGTGACATTTGAGTTGAAAAATCCCCCAAACCCTTGGATGGTTAATATAACCTAGAAAAATGGTACACGTGACAGGAAATCCTTTGGGCGTCATCGCTATCTCTATTGATTGCACTCTCGTTGTTCTCTCAATGAGTCTGCCCTAATAAATCTAATCACATGGAAACGGCGAATACGATTGTTATCACCGTGGCGTCAACGCGTGGAAGAATTCGACGCCTCGTCGTGTTTAATTAGGATCGATGCTGCGAACAGGGACTAATGAACGTCGATAAACAACGTGACAACGATTACGTAACGCGGATCGTTGCAAAACGAGAAGAGCCGTTGCATGCAGGAAGTTACCCGGTCGGTCGACCGGTTGGCGGCCATGTCAAGGCACGTGCTCTCCGAGACGTAAAAATATCTGCTCTTGACAGTGATCGAGACCAAGCGGCGTCGGCGTCTAGAAGAATAAAAAGAAGGTACAGTAAAATCTCTCTAGTTGTCCATAAGCTGGAAAGTGAAAACGGACAATGTGGGCAGGATGGGCATAATTTGGACCATATGGACGAAAAAAAAATTCGCATTGGGGATGTTCCCTTGTACATAAAATAAAGTAAATATGCTATAAATTATATCGTGTTTGGTCTCATTTTAACCAGAAGAGTCTGGTTGATATTTTGAAAAAATCCGTGGGTAAAGAAAATTAATATTAAAAAAGTTAGTGTTTTATTATAAACTACCAAATTCTCGTTAAAGAAGCCGCGTCGCGTACCACGTGACTGACTGGAACGGACAGAGGACATAGGCGTCGGGTGAGAAATCCATAGGCGTAGGATGAAACCAACGGACACTGTCAGCAGAGCAACAAAACGGTCAACTAGAGAGAATTTACTTTATGTCCTGTTCGAATTTCACCGCATCCAACTGTTTCACGGCCTTTTTCACATGTGTTTATTTTTTTTTTTTTTTTTTTTTTTTTTTTTGTAGAGGAAATCAGTCGAAAACGTCGAACGTTACATAGAATTGCATAACTGAAGCGAGAGAATTGGAAGGCCATCGCCTGGCTGCCAGCAGAAAGTCAATGAAAAAGCGAGACACTTGCGCGGGGGAGGAGGGGGTTAAGAGAACGTTCTCTTCGTCGCGAGCGCGCGCTTCAGGAAGCTGCTTCAGTCTACTCGTGACTTTCGCTCGCGAAACGCACGCGGTTCATCGGTGACGTGTTCCCGTCTAGTCGGTTCAAATCCGACACGTGCGCGGCTCGCATACCGTTCCGTGTGATTTAACGCTCGCTCCTAACCTCGTTACGGGTTTTTTTTCACGCCCCATATTCGACCCACGACCACCGCCAGCATGCTGATCTCGCGAACCACGTGACACGGTTTTTCTATCACCCAGAAAGGATTCGCTTCTTCTGCTACTTTTTTGTCCAACGTTAGAAAGAGACTTATAACAATCGCCTCGTTATGGTACGTTTGTTCTACGTACTTTGCTCTGTGTTAAAATAATGATGCAATAATGTTTAACGACGAAATGTTTTGATTTGAATAATGGTGTCAGGGCGAGAGAGATGAGTTTTGGCTTCTCAAGGTCGGCTGCCATGATATTTATATAGTTTGTTCAATTTTAGTTTAGGTCTTATTTGCAGTGTACAATGTTTGGAAACCTTGAGCAGTCGAAAGTAATTAATCTACAATAGTAAGAGTACAGATAATTCTCTTCTCGAGTCATTGAACGGAAACTTTTCCTATCTGTGTATTTTAGAATTGATAGAGCCTTCTGTTTCTATAAATCACGACTGATAAGGAGGCTTAACTAACTTTCCAGTCGTTGGATTATCATTTTATTTCAGGGCTAGTTATGTGCGGCCCGATTAGTCGGGTCGGTTCGGAAAACATCGGGCGGGCTCGGGCGGGCGTCCGATAGACGCATGTATCGGACGGTCCGCCCGAGTCCGCCCGATTTTTTCCGAGCCCACCCGAGCTCGTAATATCAGGTACCCGCACATCCTTAATCAGGGCTATATTGTTTAAATATTCTATAATGTTGCTATGTTGCCATGTTGCCTCTAAGCCCCCCCGTTTGTTGTTATATAATATCAAGTTTCATAAGTATGAAAATCTTTCAATTGTTAATAAATTTTCTAGTAGCTTTGTTGATGAAAAGGACATCCGTAGCCAGAAGGCGAGCCTTATTTTTGGAACGGTTCTTTTTCTTGCCGGTGAAACCCAGCGACAACGGATCGGGTTATCGGCTTCGCAGAGCTGGCACGTTCACCGACTGGCTTATACGTATACACATGTATATCGTTACCGCATTATTTTCTGCGTCAAGTTCTCGAGCAGCTTGACCGTGAAAAGCGAGTATAGTGGTGTCAGGTTCGTTAGTGCCACGCGACCGATACGTGATCCCCCTATACATGCGGGGTGCTTGAGGATTTTATCAGATTCTGAGCTGGTTCACGGTAACGAGGATACTTCCCTCTTTCCTAATTTGTATCTCTCAAATTCTTCATTTGTATGCTACCAGCACCACAAATTGCCTACTCCTACATTTAAAGTAGGAATATTTCTGAAAATGGTTAATAATGTAATTAAATTGAAAAAATTAAAATATTTAAAAATAAATTTAAATTTAAATTAAAAATATTTAAATTTTGTTTAAAAAAATTAAAATAAAATAAGGGTCATTTATATATATACTGCAGTTCGCCAGAGTCCATAACTGCGACGCGTAGGTTGGAAGATGGTGGGGGAACGCAGCGAGCTCTCTGCCAATCGCTTTCCACTTCGTTTGGGGGTATCGCCAATCAGGGCGAATATGCGTACTGGAGATGCGCGAAGAACGAAAACTGGTCTTTTCGCAGTTATGGACTCTGGTGAACTGCGGTATATGTATAATTGATCCTAATGTTCTTAAATTGAATAAGTTAAAGATTATGGGATCAAATATATTTGATCTGGGTCAATAGTTTAATTGGTTGTTGAGATGTATACTTAATTAGCCAGATATTTGTTAAACATATTACCCTGATTGGAAAAGTGTAAGCAAAATTGTTTCTCCAGCTATTGTTAGGTATGCATTCAAGATTACTCGAATACAAATTTATGAAACAAGAGGCAACATATGAAACAATTTTGATGGAGGATCAATTGGGCTATGTTGACGACCCTGCTATCGTGGACTTACGCAATATGATAGGAGGCTGTGCAAGCAAAGGCAACCTTTCTGCATTACATGATAAATAATATCGCTGATAACCCTGGATACTTGATTACATTAGCACCCGTTTATTATTCACATTTTTACACTGGTTATTATTCCAGCAATCGCTTTATCTATGACTCGTGATCGACGATATCTTAGTTACCAATGAATCATCAAAATAAAGAATAATGAATTCCTATACCTTTCACAATTGTAATCAGATTACTTAGGTTTTTCTGTTGAAAATAATACCAAATATGATCATGTTCAAATGGTACTAACACTTTGGGTGCCACATCACCCACATATGGGTGGTATTAACACTTTGGGTGCCACATGACCCATATATGGGTGAATTCCTATACCTTTCACTTCATAACTATGGAACCATTGTAATCAGATTACTTAGGTTTTTCTGTTGAAAATAATACCAAATATGATCATGTTCAAGTGGTATTAACACTTTGGGCGCCACATCACCCACATATGGGTGAATTCCTATTGAATTTCAATAGAAATCCATCACTCAATATTAGGAATTCTTTGACTTACTTAATTGGAAATACTGCTATTAGATACTTGAAATTATTAAAGTAATACTCAATGTTAAACTCAGTCTTTTGCGAAGGGCCATCAGGAAGTAATTATTTCAGAGTAGGGTGCGAATGCATTTGATTGAATATCTTGAGAACTAGAAAAATCGATGTAAATTACAAAATTATGTAAGGGTACAACTGTGTAAATGGATTACAGAAAGCTCCACTTGTCTGTAAAATGTAATGCAACGCCATTCGTGGAACGTCTTTCATCATTAACATTAAGAAGAATTTTCATTTTCAAGAAGTCTGTTGCAAAATTAATTTCACTCCAGAGGAAGGAGAGATTTTGTGACAGAATAAATTATTTACTCTTGCTTTATTCACTGGTATTAATTTGATGATTTGTTTGCTTTCCAGGGTTCCGGATATCTAAAGCGTGCGAACACTGAACGGCTCCATGAAATATTTAATCAGGTAAACAATTGTCTGAGTTAAGCCTTTATCAATCACAGTGTTGCACGGTACAGGTGGATGTTAGAGAAAGGATCAGGAATAATAAACATTTTATTGGATGTATTACAGTACGCCTCACAAAAGAAGAATGGCGAGAGGTTTATGACCCCGTCTGACTTCGTACGAAGTTACCTTGGACTCTTCACGAATCCCGATTACAATTCTGATTCCGTTAATTTGCTCGCCGGTATCGTTGATACCAGTAAAGATGGGTTTGTATCCAGTTTCATTTTAATTAGAGTATTCTTCCTTTCACCGATTGAACGTTCATCGTTTAGTTTAGTTTTCATTTGAAGCTTGCTAATTATACCGTTAAAACTTGCAGGCTCATATCATTCCCTGAGTTCCAAGCATTCGAAGGGCTGCTCTGCGTGCCAGATGCTTTGTACAAGACAGCCTTTCAGTTGTTCGACACTAATGGAAATGGAATGGTTGCGTTTGGTGAGCAGAACTTTCATTCAAACTTTGCCCATTTAATTAACCCGAAGAGGAGATCGTTAATTCTTTCTCCCTGCAGACGAGTTCGTTGAGGTGATGCTGAAAACTGAGCTGCATCAAAGGATGCCCTTCGACATGGAAAGCAGTTTGATCAAACTTTATTTTGGAAAGGATAAGAAGAGGTTGATCAACTATGCCGAGTTCAGTCAATTCTTGCATGTACGTTAATGTTTATTCTGATAAAAGTAATTGCTCATCTTTTTAAATATTTTAAGTAACGTCTGTCAGGGTCCAAAGATCCTTTAGCAATGCTTAATCACCGTTTCCCCTAGGACTTCCACGAGGAGTACGCAACGGAGGCTTTCAAGAAATTCGACAAAGACTGTCAGGGATTCATCTCGGCGCTGGATTTCCAAGACATCATGATCAGCATCAAGAGCCACTTGCTCACCAAGGACGTCAGAGACAACTTGGTCGCTGTACGTTATTGATTCCGTCACTGCTTTTCTTAACACTAAATATTCAAAAATGGCGAAGTTACCCCTTGGGGTCTTTTTCAAAAATCGGTACAAACGAAAGTGAAGGTGGTACAAATGGGTACAAACGATTAGGAAACAGCACCCGCAAGAAGATTTAAAAAATCTTCAAAAATGGCGAAGTAACTTCTGGGGGGCTTTTTCAAAAATCGGTACAAACGAACTCCTATGGGTACAAACAAAAGTGAAGGTGGTACAAATGGGTACAAACGATTAGGAAACAGCACCCGCAAGAAGATTTGAAAAATCTTCAAAAATGGCGAAGTAACTTCTGGGGGGCTTTTTCAAAAATCGGTACAAACGAACTCCTATGGGTACAAACAAAAGTGAAGGTGGTACAAATGGGTACAAACGATTAGGAAACAGCACCCGCAAGAAGATTTGAAAAATCTTCAAAAATGGCGAAGTAACTTCTGGGGGGCTTTTTCAAAAATCGGTACAAACGAACTCCTATGGGTACAAACGAAAGTGAAGGTGGTACAAACGGGTACAAACGACTAGGAAACAGCACCCGCAAGAAGATTTGAAAAATCTTCAAAAATGGCGAAGTAACTTCTGGGGGGCTTTTTCAAAAATCGGTACAAACGAACTCCTATGGGTACAAACGAAAGTGAAGGTGGTACAAACGGGTACAAACGACTAGGAAACAGCACCCGCAAGAAGATTTGAAAAATCTTCAAAAATGGCGAAGTAACTTCTGGGGGGCTTTTTCAAAAATCAGTACAAACGAACTCCTATGGGTACAAATGAAAGTGAAGGTGGTACAAACGGGTACAAACGACTAGGAAACAGCACCCGCAAGAAGATTTGAAAAATCTTCAAAAATGGCGAAGTAACTTCTGGGGGGCTTTTTCAAAAATCGGTACAAACGAACTCCTATGGGTACAAACGAAAGTGAAGGTGGTACAAACGGGTACAAACGACTAGGAAACAGCACCCGCAAGAAGATTTGAAAAATCTTCAAAAATGGCGAAGTAACTTCTGGGGGGCTTTTTCAAAAATCGGTACAAACGAACTCCTATGGGTACAAACGAAAGTGAAGGTGGTACAAACGGGTACAAACGACTAGGAAACAGCACCCACAAGAAGATTTGAAAAATCGTCAAAAATGGCGAAGTAACTTCTGGGGGGCTTTTTCAAAAATCGGTACAAACGAACTCCTATGGGTACAAACGAAAGTGAAGGTGGTACAAACGGGTACAAACGACTAGGAAACAGCACCCGCAAGAAGATTTGAAAAATCTTCAAAAATGGCGAAGTAACTTCTGGGGGGCTTTTTCAAAAATCGGTACAAACGAACTCCTATGGGTACAAACGGAAATGAAGGTGGTACAAAGGGGTACAAACGTTTCTTTTTTTTATGGCGTTAAAAGAAATAAAAAATGTTAAAGTGGGGTGCTACGGTATTTTTACCCCCTTATATCTTTTCACCCCTTAAGGTACAAACGAAAATACAGTAAAAGCGAATATATGCAACGAAAGATTGGCTGGATATATGCAACATCGCTATCCCCTCCACTTGGGCGGATCCCCCTAAGTGAACCGAGACGCTCGACGAGGAAGCCGTGTAATACGATCCGAACCGTTATATCGGTGTGACTAATACTAATTCAATGATAAAACTTTTTTATTTTTAACTTTTTCTTAATGAAACTTTTACTAACGCATTTGTGAGATTTTTCTGATTAAAATGATACCAAACATAAGGCAGGCCGTACAGCAAAGATGCATCAAACACGCAACATGCAACACGTCGCATTTTGTGTACGAACGTAGAATAGGTATCGCGGCTGAATACAAACGATGTGTACGGACGCAGAATCGACACCTCGACTGGATATATGCAACATTAAATGCCCAGAATCGACACCTCGGCTGGATATATGAAACATTAAATGCCCAAAATCGACACCCCGGCTGGATATATGCAACGTTTGGGGAAACTTCCGAAAGGCCCCATCACCCCAGGACAACGAAACTTCGGATTTATAGTAATTGAGGGACGAGAAATCGAATGAGACCATTTTCAGAACTAGCAAATAAACCGTTCCCGAGATATACAGGGTATTCTAAAAGTGCGGAAACCCCCTATTGTCTTGATAAGAACGCATTTCCACGCAAAATGACTAACCTAACCCTAACCCTGACCCTAACCTTAACCTAGGTTAGGTTAGTCATTTTCCGTGAAAATGCGTTCTTATCGAGGTAATAGGGGGTTTCCGCACTTTTAAAATACCCTGTATACCTCGAGAACGGTTTATTTGCCAGTTCTAAAAATGGTCCCATCGATTTCTCGTCCCTCAATTACTATAAATCCGAAGTTTGGTTGTCTTGGGGTGATGGGGCCTTTCGGAAGTACACCCCAACGTTAAATGCCCAGAATCGACACCTCGGCTGGATATATGCAAGGTCTGGGTCCCAATGTTTGTTGCATATATCCAGCATTTACTGTAATATAAGTGATGGATTCTTATTGAAATTCAATAGGAGGCGGTTAAAGTGTTAAAGAACAAGAAATCAATAAATTCAATAAATTACAGGCCGCTAGTACTGGACAGAGCGGGCGTAAAGTGAGCTTTCCTTACTTCATGGCGTTCAATTCCCTGTTGAATAACATGGAGCTCATCAAACGTATTTATCTAAACGCTACTAACGGCCATAGATACGAGGAGGTTACCAAAGGTATTTGTTCACGAATAATACAGGGTGTTAAAAAATTCCCTGAAGAGCTCCACACTGTTGGATAAATCATGAAAAATCGAAGTGGAAAGTTCTGTAGCATTTTTCGTGATCTATCCAACGGTGAAGAGCAGCCCTGTCCAAGTAGGGGAATTCACTCCTGGAACACATGTTTTGGGTCCACTTCCAACGCTGCTCCTTCAAGTAAGATGGGACGGTTCCGACTACCGTTTCTCCGTCTTTCCTAGCGGTGGTACTGTCTCCTCGGAGAGATGGTAGTCGGAAACGTCCCATCTTACTTGAAGGAGCAGCGTTGGAAAGGGAACCGAAACATGTGTTCCAGGAGTGGATTCCCCTACTCGGACAGGCCTGCCATAGGGCATAGGGCTTACCTACTTGTCTGACCATCCATGAGGCCTACAGTTTAGAGCCTTCCACTACAACTCCCAGCGCCCTTAAGAATTATCTACTTGTCTGACCACCTATGGCACAATCCCCAATCTGCTGGTCTGATCACTACAGGGTGATCCTCTAGCTAGGGGACACAAAGGAACACTGGCGACAATGGACCCCTTGACCGCACCATAAAGAGGTCCGTATTGTCACGTGCCAGCGGGGACCTACCCGGGACGAGTCGACCCTGTGTGTCTTCATGGTGCGGTCAAGGGATTCATTGTCGCCAGTTCCTGTGTGTCCCCTAGCGAGAGGATCACCCTGTATAAGACCTACATCCCAGGATCTACAACTAAAACCCCCAGTCCCCACAGGGCAGGCCTGTCCAAGTAGGGGAATCCACTCCTGGAACACATGTTTCGGTTCCCTTTCCAACGCTGCTCCTTCAACTAAGATGGGACGGTTCCGACTACCATCTCTCCGTCTTTCCTAGCGGCGGTATTGTCTCCTCGGAGAGATGGTACTCGGAACCGTCCCATCTTACTTGAAGGAGCAGCGTTGGAAGGGGACCCAAAACATATGTTCCAGGAGTGGATTCCCCTATTTGGACAGGCCTGGTATAGAGGTGTTCAGGGAATTTTTCAACACCCTGTAGATGAAATTGTCTAATGAAAAATAAGTGAAACGGTTCGTGGCAATGATTTTCTTTTTTAGAAACGTTCCTTCATTCCGCACAAATGATGTCGCAGATCACTCCACTGGAGGTGGACATTCTTTTTCAACTATGCGACCTGCTCCATCAGACTGGGTGAGTATCTCTGACCCTGAAACGCCAAGCTGTTCTCCTCGACATAGGACTGTTCGATCGAACAGGAAGGTCACGTGGAACCGAGAACAATAATCAAGCTGTGAGCAGAAAAATATTTGCGGTATCAGGGACCGATAATCGAGCGCGATAACTAATCTTCCACGTTGACCTGGTGAACGAGAAGCAAAGCGAGAAATGAAAAAAAAAAAAAAAATGTCGCATGAGTAGAGAATGCTATCGTTGCACCAGCCAGCACACGCATCATCGTCATCATCCAAATAATCGAGTGTTCGCATTCTTATCAAAGGAAGATGGAGAGCTCCCCTTCCCGCCCCTTCATTTGTTTTTTTGTTTATATTTTTTTTTTTTAAAATCTTCTGTGTTTGCTATACCAAAAGAAAACTTTCCATTATTCTTTCCGATCTTCAGCGAGCGCCAACTAAAGTTCCCATCATTGAATATATTTGTTTACGTGTTTACGCTGCCTGGATCAGATCTACAGAAGATGACGAGGCAGATTCGCGGCTTGGGTGCGTCTTTGTATTACAAGAATAATCACCGTGCTATGAATTTGTTATAACGCATACGCTGGCCTCGCGCGAAAGCAATGGGACCTTTTCTCTGAAACGCCGCAGAGCAGAGAATTTGGGAAATAAAAATAATTCAAAGAGAATTAACACGTTCAACGCCATAGGGGTCAACGGTGACCGGCCCTAAATAATTAAAAGAAAACAATAGAGTAACATTATTTTAAGTAATATTGGTATGGTACAAATAAATATGAAAATTAATTATTACTATTCTTAGTAGTTTCACTATGGGGCTCAACGTGTTAAGGACTGTGAAGGAAAGAGGGGGAATCACATTCTTTTCTAAATTCCACGTATGCTGTCTTTTGGAAGGAAAATTCCCATTTCTTTTGCCAATGTATTTGTCTGTACATAAACGATAATGCCACTTGTCTCACCTACTTTCTTCAGCATCTATCTTAGGACGATGGTATTTGCAAACATTTGCACACCATGGGCACTAACGATATTTCCATTTGTCCCGTTTTCAATGCTATGACATATTTAAGATTATGCGTGTTAAGGAAACTTTATTGGCAGGATATATTTATAGAATCGCTCGAAGCAGTGCCATCAACGTTATTTGTTATCCTTCATAACAACCACCTCTCCACCTCTTCTTCTTCTTCTTCTTCTATTTCTTTTTTTTTTTTCATTCTGAATAAGGCAACCGCCTCGCCATTACATAAACCCCTCAAAGTTTCTTCTTTAAAAAAAAAAAAAACAAATTGCTTTTTTTAACGTCGCGACAGCAACGACCTACGTATTGAGCACGCATTTTCTCGGGTTTCAGGAAAATTGTATACAATGATCTCGTGGCTATTACACCCGAGCAGTATTTCAAGCAAATAACAAAACGCCTTGCCGAGATAAAGGCGGTGTCGGTAAGTGTGGTGACAAGAAGATTGTTGAAGCCGGTCAGATGGCACCAGATTTAACCTGGGAACAATGTAACAAACAATTACCAGACTGTGTGTCGGATACGTTGTTCAATATAGACAGTATTCTTCTATTTCAGAGACCCGAAGATCGTGGTGTCGTCGTCCAGATACTCGAGAGTGGATACCGATTTGTCCTTGGATCTATCGGAGGAGGTACGTTAGCTGTTTCTCTTATCGACGTTAACGATTTTCTCTTTACAGCCAGGCAAATGACTTCGGCTACTTGTTTGAATAAATAAATGATATATTGTGTCTTGATCCTTGGATGGAGCTACTGAATTGGATGTTGGTCCATGCTTGTTGGGGATGGTTGCACAAGATGCCTCAAAGAAGATGTGCACTATTTCCTTTCCATGAATTTTTTAAATATAATTCTTTTATTGGGTATGCAAAGAAACTGAAAATTGTAAATGTTATTGTGTACATCATTGTTGAGGCAGCTTGTATTTTGGCACAAAGATCAACGTCTGGAGCGAGACTCCCTGTGACGAAGGTACAGTTAAAAGTAAACCATTAGACGAATAATGTTTTCTTTAGCGGTTGGCGCCACAGCCGTCTACCCGATTGATCTGGTGAAGACGAGGATGCAGAACCAAAGGACCGGGTCACTTGTCGGCGAGCTGATGTACAGAAACAGCTTTGATTGCTGCAAAAAGGTTGGAATCGAAAAGTCTCGCCATGAAACACTGTCTGCATTGTTAATCATGAAGTTGGTGTCTTGCGTTTGACAGGTTATACGGCATGAAGGTTTCTTCGGTCTTTACAGAGGTTTGATACCTCAGCTGATGGGCGTTGCACCTGAGAAGGCCATCAAGTTGACTGTCAATGATTTTGTCAGAGATAAGTTCATGGATAAGAACGGCAATCTACCTCTTTATGGGGAAATTCTATCTGGTGCTTGTGTAAGTCTCTTCGACTCTAAGGAAAGAATGTGTAATTTATTATAAAAGTAGAATTCTAGTGATATTCAGAAAGGTTATTTGATCTTTTAGGCAGGAGGCTCTCAGGTGATATTCACAAATCCCTTGGAAATAGTTAAAATCCGGCTGCAGGTGGCTGGAGAGATAGCAGGGGGGGCTAAAGTCAGAGCATGGACTGTGGTTAAAGAATTAGGTCTTTTTGGTTTGTATAAAGTGAGTAGTGGCAAGGTGTATCTCAAGCAGGATCAACTAAACCATATTATTACTAATGTCACTTCTGTTTCATTTCAGGGTGCAAGAGCTTGTTTCTTAAGAGACGTTCCATTTAGTGCAATTTATTTCCCAATGTATGCCCACTTGAAGACACGATTAGCAGACGAAGGAGGTTACAACACCCCTCTGTCTCTTCTTGCTTCTGGTGCTATCGCTGGTGTACCTGCAGCAGCGCTGGTCACTCCTGCAGATGTGATAAAAACAAGGCTACAAGTAATATCTCCATCTTCCCTTTCAATTATCTCATTCTTGTATATTCTCTAATTAACGTGTTATATTTTAGGTGGTAGCCAGACAGGGTCAAACAACGTACAACGGTTTACTGGATTGCGCGAAGAAGATCTTCAAGGAAGAAGGTCCCAGGGCATTCTGGAAAGGAGCCACAGGTATAAAATTCAATTCCTATGTTTCATTTGACTATTTCTTTCTTCTATCATATTTGGAGAAATAGAAAGCTCCTAGGGTGTGTGATATTTATTTTAAGTTCTCACATACAAAAGAAAGTTAGTAATACATTTATGATTTGGTCGATTGCATGGGCTGGGGTCGTACCCTGGCCGCATCTTTCGACCTATTCTTTCTCCCCAATATGACCTGGTGACTTGCTTCTGAGTGAGTACATCTTTATCTCTCTGCCTGCCACATAATAATCCGTGATGTTTCAGTTTACCCTTTGTTCTACGTTTTGTCTCTCATAACGTTGTGTTCCTTTCAATCAAAGAGGTTTTCACTGTTTTTGTTTTAAAACAGACCCTGTTGGTCCGAACAGCATATTACATCGCACGGTTTATCCTCACGTAACTTACATGTTTATTCATTTCTTATTATTTGCAACTAATAGTTGTTCAAACTCTATCGCTAGGACGAAGAGTGTCTCATAGTTTGAATGAAAGATATCATCTTGTCGAATAATTTCATATGTGCACTTCTGGGCATAGATGGTTTAAGAGGTTCAATAGAGCCCTGAATTAAGGTTCGGGCATTCTCTGCTGCCCCCAAGCCCTCAGGGCACAGTTTGGCCCAGATGTGATTTAAAAGGTGAATGGTGGGAGGTGTCTCTACAGCTCTCCTTAATCAACAGAGGCCATCTATGCTCGTGGATGTACAGGTCATAATTAAAATCATAATATTAATTCTTACCAAGAGTGATTAAATGTTGAAATTCAAATCTTTATTCAGACAAAGAACACGAAGTATTGTGTGAAAGTGTTTATTGATTTTATTTACTTTCTTTTCCTCTATTTTACAGCCCGAGTATTTAGATCGTCGCCCCAGTTTGGCGTGACCCTCTTCACCTACGAGCTTTTGCAGAGGCTCTTCGTGGTCGACTTCGGAGGATCGTAAGTAGTATATTCAAGATCAATTTCATCATTTTCAATCGTCTTAACAAACTATCTGCTAACCGCACTTTGTCCAAATTATGGTGTGTCTGCGTGTGGGTGGTTTATCATGCAAATCTAATGGGTTGTGTGTCGGTGATCTGAACTGTTTATTTTTATATTTTCTCATTGACGAACTGTCTTTTTGTTTGTCTTTGACGCATATTAATCGTATACACGTTTATCCATTCCGGTTATAAATATTGTGTGATTAATTTGCATGCAAATTAAAAAATGATTTGGAACCGTTTATTTTCTTGGTAAGTACATCTTGTGCTTTCTCTTCCTTTGTTTTTTGTGTTCAATATTTGTCTTCGATTTTTCTTCTCGTTTCAACTCATCCGCCTGTGTGATTTTTTGCAGTAGCTTGCCTCATTTCCTAAATCTGTTCCATTCGGAGACACGGTATCAACACCTTTTGCCTACCTATCAAAAAGAAATATAATTGGAATTTATGGTTGTGGTATTTAAAATATTACAGTCATTTTTAACTCCTTGGCTGGTAAGGCTTTCTTATCATTCAAGTATTACGTTAAGGGCAGAAGGTGTCAGGGATCCTTTAAGAATTCACCCAGGAGATTGGTCAAATATCATCCGCCAAATCGCTTGCATCCGCATGAGATAGCCTGTTTTTCATTGAAAGAAAGAGAGTATGAGATCACTGAACGTGTGCCTGGTTGTTTCCAGTCGACCCTCCGGGTCCGAGCACAGGGTGCCGGCGACAGGAGTTGCGGAAGAGATCCGTTCGACGAACCCGGACCACATAGGCGGTTACCAAGTAGCGTTACCCATCTTCAACGGTATCGAAACAAAGTTCGGTCTCTATCTACCCAGGTTCCAAACCGGTACACACGAAAAGTAACGCTCGTCGAGTTAGCTTCCGCTAGAAAATTAAGCTTGTAGCGACAGACAACCCCATCGACAGAACTGCGTATCCAGTCGCTGAGTGTACTCAACCGACTGTCCAAGACCAACGAGGTACGAGCTCCACAGAACCTACCGACCTAGCCAAACCTGGTGAAAACTTATTTCAAATCGGGTCTTCAACCGTTATCGTTGAAGCAAACCGAATCTCCCAGGCCCAAGTCCGGGGTAACCCTCTTAGGACACCTGACCTTCGAGGTTCTATAGCGTATCTGAACATTCGACGAATAAATAACAGCATCATCTTCCTGGAAGCAACAGAGAACAGTAGGAGAAATGAAACATCTAAAAAAGAAATTGGGAATTGGAAGGAATCAGACGAGTTCCTTGAAGAAGATGAGGATCAGATTTTCTGAAGCGAGCATATGGGATAGAGTATCGCTAACGCGCACAACCTCTTCCGGTGACGATCCTCCATCGAGGCCACCGTGATGGAACGACAGAAGAGGAACAGTAACACAGGGTTTAGACAAGTTACACCCGGTGCTGTCCAGGGGGAATCTCTTCTGTAGCTAGAGGCACACAGTCTGCGAATAAAAATTGGATGTATATTTATAATCCTCGTCAGGAGGGAATTCGGGAGGCTCTCCTTATCTCGCGAGGCCTTCTACCGCCTGCTTCTAACTTCATTAATCATTGTACATGATGGACAGAAATATATGAATAGCGGAAAGAAGTGAGGATGCAGGTGTATCGAATAAAGGGTAATTGGATGTTAGAGCCAATCAGAGGCAAGATGCGCAGAATGAGAACTCGTCGTCAGGGGGGTACAATAGGATGTAGCTTAAGTTTTTCTTAGTTAAATTAAGTACAGTGTAGGGGGGAGGAGTGTTTCTCCCTGGGTTTCCTTGAGTAATCCTACAATTTTTCCATGGCTCTCCTAAAGCCATTGATGAGACACTCCTTTCCCCTAACTGCACCTTTAGTCAATGGAAGCCTACGTTGCCCCAAGGTGTACATCCTCTCACGATGAGGACTATAGTACTAAGAGAGAACCCAATGGAACGTGTACATAGTAGGAGGACCACAAAGGGGTCGTGGACAGCACTGAGTCAAGATTGAGACAGGGAACACTTAAAGATATTATTGAATATTCTCAATAGCCTCTTTAATCTTACGTTTACCGATCTGCGCAAGTGTGGAGCTCGACAAGAAGCAGACGTTAATCTTCTTTGTACACGTAGGAACACCTTTCATTAACGACCCTATTCTGCCTCACCTTTTACACTCGACTTCAATTAGCTTATCAATTATACATTGCTTCTTGCTTCAGCTGAATATTGGCGTGTTCTCCTATTTCTTTAGACACGTAAGGGTGAAAGAAATTGGTCCGAAATTTTGAAGCGTTGCTTTGCCGCTGGCACCTTACTTTTTCTACTTTTTATATGCGGTCGAAACTGAAGCTTGTTTGTACGCGGTTCCCCCGAGAGTTTACACTATTTTTGTAGCTTTGTATTCGATGGTAGACAAGCCTCAATTTTTCCATAGAATTTCGCTTCGGAGATTTCCATTAACCTTTTCTTTTTACTCTCCTAGTCGCTTTCCAATTCTCTGTCCTTTGGTTCTGTATAGGTACAGTATCGGGTATAGTGAACCTTTCTAGGGTAAATGGCGGTGTACAGTGTCGAGCATCGAGAACCTTCCTAGGGTAAATGGCGGTGTACATTGTCGAGCATGGAGAACTCTCCTAGGGAATTTGTTGCTTATTAAAGAATTTTTTTATTCATCAAAAATTTGTTAATGTTATCATTGAAAAATGAAATTCTTTAATAGGGAAAAATTAGATTCTTTCGTTGAAATTTAAAGTCAGGTTTTTCGATCATCAAATATGATTTTTCAGTAATTCTGGTGGATTTGATTTCGTACACAGGGTCTGGATTAAGTCTGGGGTGTATATTTATATAAAGCGAAGAACGATGTGGGAGTTTAGGGGTAGGCTGAGAGCCCCTTGGATATCAATTGAACCATCCTGATCATAGTTCGATGTATATACATATGTTGCATATGTAAAATATATTTAATTAGCCCGTGTACATATATATATGCGACTGGCGAATGCGAACGCTGCATATAACCCGGTTGTGATCGACGTAAAGAATCTGGCCAGTTTAACGTTTCAGTCCATTTAGTAAAATTAAACCTAATCTTTGTTTTTGCGCTAACTGTAGTTCGTTAATCAAAGTCGAACAGCGGGATACCTCGTGGATAAGCGTTCGCATTTTGTTCAAAAAAGGAAATATATTTAAAAAGAAAAAAAATATTCAGAAATCCGTCGTGGGCATTCGCAGCTCAATAAACACATTTGGTTTTTATACATAAACACATATACACGATTTTTCTCAATAATTGTTGCACCGATCCTCTATTTCAAGCTCCTGGGCAACTCTGCCCGGGGGGAGGGGCAACTCTGCCCGAGGGGCAACCTCGATTGCCCTTAGGTCCCAGGGCAGCTATACCAGAAGCCAATAAGAAAAGCTGTTTATTTTCTTTTTAAGACACTTTATTTCGCTCAAGGGCCATCGAGTTGCTCAGGGCCACCGCTCTATTTCATTGTTTAAAGTGTTAGTACGACTCGTCCTTAACTAAACGTTATAAGAATCTGAATTATCTCGCAGGCTGGCTTGTGATAAGTAAGAAAAAGAAAAATTAGAACAGGAGGAATTTCAGACACGCATTTTCCAAGGAATTAAATTCAATTTCGTTGATAATAGTAGGGTTAACCTCGGTCTCTTATTTTCAGGAATTAAAATTTCAAATTTAATTAGCTCGAGGGTTTCTTCAACCGGCCTAAAGAGAATTACTCGGTTACCGGTATCCGCGGATGAAAAATCAGCGTTTCTGAAGGCAGCCTGTTCTTATAGGGTTAGATTTTATCCTTTCTCAAACGAAGATCGAGATTCCCGCCGAAATATGCAAGGTGTCTCCAAAAATCAGTGGATACTTTCGTGAAACGATGAATGAAAGTCAGTGTGAAATTAAATTTTAATTATCACATTTCAATTCCCCTTCGAGAATTTCGATCTACGTTCACAGGCACACGGATTATTTCGCCTGTTTACGACCACTCGGTTAGCGGGAGACCTAACGCAGAAGACAATGGCTATGCGATTGCACAAAAGAAGAAACAGAAAAAATATAAACATACCAAAACTAAATTAAGGTTAAATCTATTTTATGAAGCACTCTGAACGTGGAAATCTATTACGTGTAATAATAACATCAATCCTTTCGCTGTGACTTGAAAGCAACAGCAGCTATGTACAGTGGGCTCACGTTATATCGCCACGGATGGCGCTGTAGGAGCGGAAAATCTTGCAAGTTTCCATTTGAAAGGTGGGGGGGGGGGGGGGGGGGGGGGGGATATAGAAGTACATCATCATTGTAAGATATGATGGGGGGGGGGGCATTAGGAGGTCAAATCCCTCGCGTGGCAATATAACGAGAGTCTGCCGTAGTTAACTACACGTATATGTACGGTTTCAAGAGGCTATCGTTTCGGGATTTATATATACGTGATCCTCAGCGAAAGGATTGTTAAGGGAGGGATAGATAAGGGTTAAAATTAAGCTCGTTTCCGTGATCGAACGTCTCATATCCGTTCGGCGCACAGTCGACAGAAGAAATCTGAGAATCTAGGGAAAAGAATAATATTAAAAGGATAAATATAAGGCAGGTATTTCTTGGCCAATTGACGAATCGACGTTCTACTGATCTGTGATCATTGCGTGTCAGATTCTGGACGGCTGAGCCGCGGAAGGCCGATTTAGTTAGACGATTTTCAATTCGAATTCTTACGAACTACTCTCGGTCGTAATAATCTTTGATAAACTTAGTTTTACCTCATTGCGAATTGTAAAGATATATATTATATATAATTGTAAATCAAAAGAAAAACAGACAAAAAAAGATATGAAAGAAAATACCTAATTGTGAATAACACCTAAGTTGTTGTGCATATATTTTAAAATAAGAATAAATATTATTTAAGAGATTCATCTCGGTCGTCTCTTTGGGAAAAATTGATCGTGAAATTTCTTCGCGAACCCAATCCTATTTTTTTTTTTTTAATCTCTCTAAAGAGAGATTGTGTGTTTAACAAATTTTCTGCAGAGTCCTGGAACTCGGTGTAACATAGAAACACACCATAAGTTTGGACGTTAAAGAGATTCCTGTTCCGGCAACAGGATGCAGGAAGCAACTCGCGCTTATAAAGATTGCATGGGGCCACGTTTATGGGGGAAAACAACACGTTGGATATAATGCTTGGAATATTTTAGTATTCGCTTAAACGACCCGGTATTGGATGTTTTATGGGACCTTTATTATCCCACGGTGTCCCGAAATGTTGTAAAAATCCTGGTGCCTTGGACATGTGAATTTGAAATTACCTTCATAGACGAAAATTTCAACAATCGGTTCAGTTACTTTTTATTTGTTGTCGGGTGAAATGTTTGTTAACTTTTTATTTTTTCATTTTTAATCAAAATCTGATTAGAGCCTTCACTGATACTCCAATATCCCCGAATCCCGTGAAAATTGGGGATCGATTTCGCTTTCCAATTAATTTTGTTTAACACGTTCAACGAGGTTTTGTAACGCGGCTTATCGGATCTCGGTTTAACGAGTTTCCTCCGTTACAGCCGGTGTACATGATAATCTACGAGCAACCTAATTAACTTCCTAAAACGTTCGCTATTTTTTCCTTCTTCGAACGCGATTAGAACCTAATTGTTACGGACTAGAAACAATGAACTATATTTTAAATAATATCCAACGATCAGACACGACGCAGTGTTCGCTTTCTTCAACTTTTATCCTTCAAAGTCACGTTATCAACACGATCGTTCCATTTTTCCTACTGTCCTATCGCCCATATGGACAGAGGGCACCCAGGTGGTAGTAATTTTGTCCAGCTGTAAAAGAGAAATATTTAGACTTATGCGAAGTTTGAAGATGAAGAGAAGAAGTGGAGTAGAAGGGTTGAAAAACACGTTGACCGATGGGTAACAATTTTGATACTAAAAAGAGGGTGAAAAGCCCCCTAGTTTTTAGTAGGCTAGCTATGTCACTGTTTGGGGCATTTGTCCTTCATTGCTGCCCTCTACTTTGAGTAATGGGGGCTGCTCTTGCCCTTCAGTTTGTGCCCATATGCATTGGGGGTGCCCTTGCCCTTTTCTTTGCTCATATGTCTTGGGGGCTGCCCTTGCCGTATACTTTGCTCATGTGCCTTGGGAGCTGCTCTTGCCCTCCACTTGGAGCCCATACGCAGTAGGGACTGCCCTTGTCCTCCACTTTGCGGCTATATGCAGTGGGGATTGCCCTTTCCCTCTATTTTGCCCATATGCCTTGAGGGCTACTCTTGCTCCCACACCACTCATCGTTACTTTCATCAGTCATCGCATTAAGAAACACAGAGTGAAATAAATGAGAGGATTGTTTCATGAGAAGAAGATCCCCAACAAAGACTTACTCCAGTTCAGGGGTTATCATTGTTTGAAACTTACAGCAAAGTCCGGCGTATCGATTCGAATAAACCATCCCGTAGCTGCCGCAAGCAGGCTGGCCTGATTGATAGGGTTGAAAGCCTAGCACGTTGCCACTGCGATGCGAAAGAATTAAGGTTAAACAGCGTCGGAAGGATGATTTATCGACGGTGGTGATGAAACGCAACCGATTACGGAGTGTGTTAAAAAAATTGATCGGCTAAACGAAAGGTGAAAAAAAAAAAAAAATAAAATCGCTTCATGCATCATTCATCGTCCTCGTTCACGCTTGTTGCCGCTCACGAAACCCCCTTCGTTATGATCAATCGCGAAACTGGAAGGAGTGTATGACACCCTCGGATCGGATTCCACACACGTTCCACTCTTCGCGAATTTCTGATACTCCTTCGATACAGAAACGTCGAAGCTGATTGAAAATTAACAAGTAGACTGTTTAAAAAGCGGACCAGGTAAAACGGACTGGTGATTGTGAGGCAGCTCGCGTCTGAGGAGAGTACTAACGTATTTCCAGCTCGAAATCGTGAGTCTACTTCTGCGTTTAGTTGAATTGAAGCGAAAAGGAGATAAATGAAACCGAGCTGGAGTAGTTGGATGCAGAGGGGAGTAGCAGAGATGGAAAGGAAGAGTCTAGTTCGTTTAGTTCCTTGGGACTGATCTCCATGAATTTATGGGTATACATTTTCATAGAGAGTCCATAATGGCGGGGACTTAAAGTACCCCTTAAATGGAGTGGGGAGTACTGAAGTACCCCATTTAGATGGCGCTGGAGATCCCAGCATTAAGGCGCCCTCGAGGGGAAGATTGACGATTAAGAATAAGATGGAGGTGATCAGGATTCAGCCATCCTAGCCAGATTAAGCTGTGCTTTAAAAAATAAAAACCTATGCCTACTATTGGCTCCTATTGCTCTGCATACTTGCACAGAATGATGGCCGTAAGTCCAGGGGTGTATACAGGGTGTCCCAGAATGAGTATAAGCTGCTTAAGGAGGTGGTAGCTGAAGTGATTCTGAACAACATTTGTTGTTTGATGCTTTGTTTTTGAATTATTAAGGAATAAAAAACAGTGACCAATTCAAGTGCGCATAGCGCGCGGGCTCAGGGACGGAATTAGGGCGATCCAAGTCCCTGTGTGGTCCCTACATGTGGGGGGCGATTACAGCCCAAACAAAGGGTGTATTATTCTTCGTAGGAACTGCACAAGTTAATGAAGACATAAAATCTGCCGGCGTCGGGTGTGGCCCCCGTCGTCGGCGGAGTTGGCACGGGGGGGGGTCAAAGCTTAGACCCTCCCCCGTGATGGGGCGCTATGCGCCAAGGGTGGTTGGGTCCCGGTGTTGTTCGTTAGAGGTCCCGGGGGCCTTCCTTATGCCCAGTGCGGGTCACCATGGGGGTATTAGCCGGTAAAAATCCGGCACTACCCTCGGCCCCTCCCCAGGGGGGCTGGGGGCGTCTTTGGAAGATTTTCTCCAAGAAAAAAAAGACATAAAATCTCGAGAAGTAAAGAAGTTGGAGGCATAAACCAGCCAGGAAGAAGGAAGGCTCAGTGGCATACAAGACACTCCGAGATGAAGACATGCGTTGGGACTGCATGGATGGTTGGAGATTTGGTGAGAATTGATATTACGAAAGTGTTACAATGGAATATTCTCACCTGGGCCCGTAGTTGCAGACGTAATACTTGGTGTAGCCTCGAGCCGGGTCGTAGTAGAAGGAGTATCCACAGCCCACGAGGTACGTGTCGCCCCAGACGATCTGCAAGTAATTTAAAACCTGCTTCATCCCCTTGAATAACCGAGATTCCTCGGCTCTGCTCGACGGAAAGTGTTCGTTCACTTTTTCTCGAATATTTTTTCTGCAACGCGATTGCAGCCGGGGATTATTCCCGCGATTCCGAGCACGCGTGCCCGCTAATGATTAATTAGTTCAGTTACCAACTCTACGAAACAAGCAAAAAAATTGTATCGCAACGATATTTTATCTCTGACTCCACTGAATTGGATTATACCCCGGGACTTTTCGAACAGTCGTTCTTCAAAGTCATCTTTACAAGCCGAGGGGAACTTACGCAGCCTGGAAGTGTTCTATGTACTCACAGAGAGATTCATTTACGTGAATGATCACCAACCTGAGTGTAGTGCCCAGTGGCGTCGCTGTAACCGGCTCGATAATGTTGCACCTCGTTGAACCAATCCGTGATCCTCTGTCTCCAGTTCGGTTCGTCGTCGAACGGTCCCGGAGGTCTCGTTGTCCATGTCCAAGCGATATTTTGCCCCACTGCGAACCTACCTGTAGATCGATCACCATTAATCTTGATCGATCCAAAGAGATAGAGCGGAGAATCGCTTTTCTATCTGGACGATTTCTTGCCCGTTTAATTTATTGACTGTCGCATGCATGGCGAGCCTGAGTCTATTGTAAATCCAAGGGAAATGGAGGATTTCAATTGATGTACAGGACGATACAAAAACAAAGCCCCAAATTTAGAAAGCTACTAAGTGTCCTATAGTGAATACAAATGTCTTAACAAAGAGTGAAGTGATTCGTAGTGATTTAAAGTAAAGTGCAAGTTTTATGCAGTGTATAGGGTGATTCAAAAGTGGTGTTTCAAGTGTTTTAATGTTTCAAAGCTGAGAATGAGGATCATCTTCTTCGAAAGGTACGTGTACAATAAAAGTTTATAGATTAGTTAAGTACCCATGCGAGATTGGCACCTACAGGGTGTTTCAAAAGTAAACAAATTTACTTACGAACGTTTCTGGAATTGTCGTGGATCTCCGTGCACCTGTTCGCCCATCTCTGCGCGATCGCCGCCAATTCGTCGTCCCAGACCTGCGGAAGAAAGAAATTCCCTTGTCGTCGGAAGGAGATTCATGGCAAACGGTTCCGGTTCGCGGCAACTTAAGTAAATTTGTTCTCCCGTTACACAGGCACGTTTAAACGCGGCGAGAAACCGTGTGAAACGCAGCACCAGAGTTACCCAATGCGCGCCACGTTAAAAAAGTATTCCACGAGAAAATGTGACGAGAGGAAGGATTAAGGAGGCAGCATCCTCTTACCATTTCCCTCATATTCGCGGCGCTCGGCTGTCCATGAATCTGCCCCAAAGCCACCAGCTGTCTCAGCCGATTATGCTCGTCTAAGATGGCCTGCTTCTCCTCGCAGGATAAACCGCTGGATCCTGCGAATGAATTGACGCTAATCTTAATCAAGTTCAGGAAATCCGAAGATCGCGATTGGGCAAATCCTAGCGATGGACTGTGTTCATTGATACGTAGCGCAGTCAGCGCTCGATAATTCCCTGCACTTGTTTTAGAGGCGGGAAATTCTAAGAATCAGGGAATTATCGAGCATCAGTGGTGCAGCTATGCAGTCGTTGGCTACCTAGGCATTCCAGCAGGGAATTAGCGAGTCCCTATAGTATCAGGTCTTAGACTTTTCTAAAACTACAGTATCGCCTCGGAATAAGCAACTCGCTCTTATGAGCAGGTATGCTATTCGGCTTGACTTTGATCTCGAACCGGGACGGGAGCGGCACACTATAAGGTAATCGACCGAACAAGCGAGTTTTTCTTTTTTAAAGGACAGTAGATGACTTCTTTTCTCATTCTGGCATTAAGCGACACTTGCTCTGCGGGCGACTTCAAACAAAGAAGAGGGGATGTCGAGTTGCTTATTTCGAGGCAATCCTCCAGTGATTCGAAGCTTATCACACCCCCTATGAACACAGGATAATAAGGACATTAAGAATGAATCCTCATTAGAGAGTCCACTGTTTCATTGATCAATCCTATTCACCGGCGTGTTGGCGCAGGATGTCCTTTCTTTCATTAATTGCTACCGTTGCCTTGTACCAAGCTGACGGAGCTGGTGAAATTACAAATTCAACCGGTTTTAATTGATTAATGCCTCCGAGTGGTGTTTTAGTCCCACTGAAACACGCTGCGCTGGATATGAGAGTTTAGCTGCGTGCAGACTCGTTTATTATGCATTTGCATTCCTCCACGACTCGGTACAAAGGGAATCGTACGCGCATCGAGATCAGTGAATATTATCAATATTCTTATTTCGTTGTTTCGTAAACCATCAGGGATGTCTATAGTCGCTCAAGTTTCCCTACGCTTCTTGTTTCTCAGCACCTCGGTCCCTTTGAATTGCTCTTAACTTTCTTGGAATCTGCTTTAACGACGTTCCCTCTGTCTTTCCCCGAGGAAACTTTCCTTCTACCGTATTCTTTTCCCTAATAACTTTTACATCCGCCAGGGGGACGAGGTTCCTACCTTTGTCTCGGGGTTGCATGTAAATTTTCGAGGGACGAGTCGGAAATCGATTAGATAAATTCTCAGCAACAATTTTAATTAATCTTCCCATCGATCGAGGCGTAATTTCAGCGAGGAAACGTGAATAACAATTCGGTCGAACCTCGAACGGATTTCCCGAAATTTAACCAGATGCTGATGTTTTAATTCAGAAACGTGGTCTCGCCGAGGCACACGCTATTTTTAAAGTCGAATCCGTTCGATGTTCGACGCTGTATCGAAACGTAATAGATTCGAATTTTCTCCCTGTAAATAATGTACCGACTGAATTATTCATGAGACGAAGAGTGGCACAGCTGGACGAAAAGCGGAGCAATAAACTTGCCTACTTCTCTTTTTCGTTCTCTTCTTCATCCTCTCTTTTTTACTTACCTAATTACCTCTGGGTTCCGTTTGACGTCTCAGTTAAAATGAGAAACACCTAACCAGATGTTATTTTTCTCTTTTTTTTTTCTTGGACAGACGAGATTAAAGCGAAGCAAATTTCTTTTTCAGTTTGATATATTTAGACCGCAGATATTTTTGAAAATTTATTATAAAATCGTCGTTTCCGTGCTAGCGAATTTGCATAATAATTTATCCGATTGTTATGTCGTACTATCGATATTCGTTTTAACGTTCGTTCGTTTAGTCTCTCGAAATCACGTTACGGTATTGTTCGTGGATTAATTAAAGGCCGTCTCTTTTCCTGTATCATAAATATTAATGAATTTACCTTGTTTATGTATACAAAGTTCATTTTATTTGATCCATCCTGATTTCTGTTTATATTTCCAGTTAATATTTCATATCTTAAATCAGACGATTTCGAAACGACCGGTCGTACTCGGCAATAAAAATCCTTTCTAAATTCTGGAATCGCTAATTTTCCGTTGCTATTTTTAATTACGATTGCGTAATTAGCTTTAAATATAGCCCACGAGAGCGAAACCTGTTTTTCAAAACCTATTTCTCTGATTTTCACCCGGAAATTCTCTCGATTCGAAAAAGAGATTATTTCGTCAACGGTGGGAGGGAAAAATAAACGAAACGACGATTAAATTTCCCTAGTCTGTGTATTTTTTTCGCGTAACGATTAACACGCTTCCGTTTTAACGGGGGCGGGAAAAAAATTAGTATTCTCGTCGTATTGCTGGATTTATTCAAATATCCCTGTGCTCCCTGTAAAAGGACCAGATTACCCTGGAATTAAAATAATCCAGCCAGACGCACGACCTCTTTTTTCATCTCTAATTCTTTTAATGCGTTTTTTTTATAAGCGCGTATCGCGAAATTATCGGTTTATTAATACAATATTCAGCGTTCAACATCGGCGTAATAATATCACTGTTCGATGGAGAAACGGAAATCGATAAACCGCCGAAGCTTTTAATTGATGAGAGAAAGTAACCCACGAAAAAAGACTTTAATTAAACTATCATTATGATTGCATATTTAATTTTCTTTCGAATAATTTAACGTACAGTTTATAAATGCAAAAAGATATTCCGTGATGTTTAATTCAGCATCGATACCTCGCCGTTTATACGGCATCGATATCGACCAGGGTACGAGAGGGGGCATGAAACTGGAATTAGACATTTGCCCAGCGCTGTATACACGGTCAGTTTCTTTTTGTCCCGGAAATGAGGAGGGCTTGGCCGGGCCACGGTACGTAACGATTCCGCCGACACCTGCTAACTCCATTCTCTGTCGTGGCTCACAGTTAAATGGATTTCGTGGGAATGGACTTGGTAGCTTGTTAAATAAATAGTTCTCCGACGAGGCTACCGGCTCCCATTCATAGTTACCACGGTTATTCCAATTTTCTACCAACACCGATGCCCGCCTGTCGTTGACCCATTGTGGACCAGTATCAAGATTTTGCCAACATCGACCCTCGATCACAATCGAGGATTCCTTACAAAATGCCCATTGAAATTCCAAGGCGGTTCGCTAAATGGATTAGACACTCTGTCGAGGCTGGTCAGACAGGTATGAATGTTTCGAAATCATCTGTGTGTCAGTGGACCCGATATATTTGCATGATTTCCTTGTCTGATCTGCGTGAGAAGAAGTCCAATCGTGAATGGAACGAGATACGTGATCGTTGAACGAATTCGGACTTAATTGACTCTCTGTCGTTATGGCTGCTTTGGCGCGAACCACGTTAATAAATCTGAGTTTTAATTAATTCAACAATTGTCGCCTCCCCTCTGGATCTACCCTCATTTGGCGGTCAACCCTTTAAGGGTTAACGATGATAAAGAAACGAGATGAAATTCTGAAGAAAAGAGATCATTTTGAAAAGAGCAAGAGAGAAGTGAAAGGTGAAAGAAGTTAGGAACTAAAGAATAGATTAATTCGTTCTGGTAACGAGACTGGTAAAACGTAGGTTACGTCTAGTCACGTTCTTATCGGGGGGAGCGCGTTGTCTGAAGGCTGATGGACGAGCTTGGAAATCACGGTACTCGGCTGCACCAGAGGCAGAGCAGAGATTATTCAAATCGCCGCTCGGAGATGAATCACCTGAACTCGAAATCCACGCGCCAAGGATAAAGAAGCCCGACAAAGTGACAAGTGTAAAGATTGAAACAATGCTATCCAGGCGAATTCTTGACCCCCAGACAAATGACCCTCTTCTCAGCCACTTGCTTCGCTGTGTCCTCACTAATTCTTTCTTGGGTCTTTGTTTTCCTACTTCCCTCCTCGCGAAGTTTTCCTAACCGAGTCTACCCAGCCCCAGCTATCTAGTTTCCTTAAGTTTCCCCCATCCTAGACGTCTCTGATCTTTCAAACATCAGAAGTTTCCTCATATCCACCTAGATCCTCCAACTCCTCTTCAAACTATCTGACATTTCCCTTTCGTTCTCTGATTTACCACCTGTCCACGACTAGTCAGACCTGTCACCGGTTATGATACTCACTTAGCATGGTTTTTCCAACGCACGAAGGCCATGAGCTGTCCACCAACACCATCGGACTTAAGACCAGCACCAGTATCAGCCAGATTCTGTCTCTCTGTCTCTTCATTTTCAAAGTTTCCTCTCTTCTGAAATCACAGTCCTTGGTCCCTTGGACGACACTGGATGTCCTATAACCTCGTGGGTGAATCAGTATCAGGTTCACTCGGACGCAAGTGGCTGGTCGATCAGCTGATGAAACCAGACGATTTACTAGACTCTCGAGAGTCAGAACCGGTCGTCGGACGCAGACGGACACTAATAGCCGCCACGCTCGTCTGGCTGCCTTTATATTCACCTGTCCCATAGGTTGGACGGTGTAATTGTTGGGGCTACCGGTTTCTATGGAGGGGACCAGTTGCATGGTCCTCGATAACGGCTGCTTCAACGGGTATTCAAGGACAGTCTGCAATCTGCCATCAGGAGCTTTTCTGTTGGAAAATGTTGGATGGTTCGTGAAGAATCGTAATCCGTCGCAGCCATTACGCCATATTTTCACGATTTTTCTCCATTTTATGGATTGTCAGGTGCTGAAGAGCTCGCACTGACGTCGATTGTCACTTGTAGAAACTTGGAACTGCAAAGAAATCTTGGAAAAGAGTATGCACAGGGCGATTCATATATAGAGGACGAAGTGGACGCAGTCATTCCGCCACATTTTCACGATTTATCTCCATTTTATGAAATGTCAGATGCTGAAGAGCTCGGACTGATATCGATTATCACTTGTAGAAACTGTGGAAGACAAAGAAATCTTGGAAAAGTGCATGTACAGGGTGAGCCATAAATGGAGGACGAAGTGAATTTCGACAGTGAAGCAAGGAAACAACATTCTTCCAAGTTATTTGACTTGGTACATCGAAGTTTGAAAATCAAGGAAAATCATATAGGGTACTGGCCCCTCGGCCTAGGGCTTAGGAATGGTCATAATTCTTCATTGGGGTCCATTTGAATAAAAATGGCTGAAAAAGTTAATCAAGAAAGTGTATGGGCGTCGAGTTGGCCTTTGACTTTTTGGATGCTATTTTTTCAAAAACTATTATTGGTAGCAGTTCATCACCTTATTTTACATCATCTGTTTTTCCTCATATTATATTTCAATTTTGTGACATATTCAAAACGAGGCAATTTTTTCAAAACTCCCTCATTTCTAGGCATTGCCTAGAGGTACTTTTAGGTATATAGACTGGCCCGGTTCAACCCTCCGACATGGCCAAAAAGGCACATAACCAAATGACCATTTCCAAAAACCCGTCAAAGAGGCGCATTAGATCAAATCTAAAAATATGCATTAGTACTACTGTCCAAGGTCTACTAAATGCAGTTGAGTGTGGTGCTACCTATAATATTTTTTGAGGAAATGGCCTCCAAAAACTCAAAGGTCAACTCGGCACCCATACACTTTTTTAACAAACTTCTTTAGCCATTTTTATTCAAATAGACCCCAATGAAGGATTATAACTATTCCTAAGCCCTAGGCCGAAGGGTCGGTACCCTATACGATTTTCCTTGGTGCTCTTTGAAGACAAAGTGTATACAGGGTGATTCGTAAATGAAAAAGTCTCATCTGGAAGATTGATCATTAGACGGCAATTTGGACAAATGGGACTCTTAAACTTGCTGGTTCAAGAATCGAAGGATGATATGCAGTTTTCTAACGAGCTAATTTAGAAGCAAGAGACCGTTTCCCTATAATTAATGTGCTTACACGGTCCGCGTCATACACGAGATTAACGACAGTTTCCAGCGATGCGGAGTCGAATATAAATTCAGCAAAGTTTCGACGGAGGAGCCGCGAAGAGGGAGGAAAGTTTTCCAGAGATCTTACGCTCCCTAATAATCGGGAATAATTAGTCGACGGCCGAGTAATTGCCCCGATTCACCTGCTACACCTTTTATTCTCGTTTCAAACTCAGGGTCGTTAAATATTCACACTCGTATTTTAACCTTTTTCTTTTAAACGCTGACTTTTACGATCAAGTAAAATTATTACTGCAACTGTCAATATCAATAAATTTCTAATCGAACGATCATTTCGAATGAAAAAAAAACGAAAGAAAAAAAAAAAGAAAACGAGTCGCTTCGATGGACGGATGGGAATTTTGATCATCCTGTCCATTCTCTGTCGAGATTCGTATCATGGTCACATTTTAGCATATTCAGAATCTCGTGGAAGAGTCGCTCTGATCGGATAATATTCCGAACGAATTATAATCCGGATAAGTGGAGGGAATTATGGCGTAATCGACGATTTGAATCGTTACATTTTGTAATTGTCGATCGTTTGTCAAAAATCGCGATGTAAATTCTGCCTCGGAACGGGTGTATCGACCGGTTCGATCGATTGATCATCGCGAGTCGAGGAGGCAGACAGCGTTTCGAGCGGAATTAATTATTCTCCATGGGAGTTGTTCCCCGAAATGGTTGATTATACGACTTATTTGCATCTCCAAACCAGGTGTTCCTCTTTTTTTTTTTACTCGATCCACGATCTTGCGACACTGTTTCTCCATTTTTAATGAAACAGCGCAGAATCTTGTTATTGAGAAAAAAAAACAAAAGGAAAGCAGACAAAAGACTTGGATCAGTTTTCTTCTTTTATCTTCCGTTGTTTCGTTTGAAGAACGAGAGAAACGTGAGGTTTCCTTAGACAATCGTGGTCAATACGGTTCGAGAAATATCATAATAAGGTTCCACCGGTTTTGAAAGCCGGGGCGTTCGTTAAACTGACGTTTGAAATGATTTATCTCGTCGAGGACGTGCGAAACGTTGTTCGAGAAGCTGCTAGCGAATGCACGTTGCATCGGGCTGCTGCACTTTGGAATGCAAATTCTACTGATACTTTGCCCGGGACCGAGAAAATTTTTCTGCCGTCGGAACGTGCTCTGCGTTTCGGCTTGTGTTCTTCGATTTATTTTTCCTCGGATCTTTTGATCGATTTTAGAAATTTCACGGAAATAGCTGCGACCGATGAAGCATCTGTTCGTTCAGTTGGCATCTATACTGAAATAGGTTTGTTTTGTAGGAGAATTGAGGTATTACCTTGTTCGGTTTATTTTTATGGGCTCTATATCGAAATACTGGGACATTAAAGCGTCGAAGGATTGGGAACTTGAGAAATTGAATCTTTGGACTGGTGGTGTCTTGGGTCGGTGGAATTGCGGGTTGTGGACACCAGGGAATAGTGGAATTTCAGATCGTAGGAATATTTTACCATAGGCATTTTGGGCCGTGGAAGTATAGGGCCACTGGAATTCTGGGTCGTGGAAATATTAGACCAAAGGAATTTTGGGCCGTGGAAGTATAGGACCACTGGAACTCCGGGTCGTGGAAATAAAGGCCCACTAGAATTCCAGGTTGTGGAAATTTTGGGCCACTGGAATTTCAGCTCGTGGAAATATAAGACCACTGGAATTTTGGGTCGTGGAAATATAGGACCACTGGAATTCCAGGTTGTGGAGATATAGGGACACCGGAAGTACGGTTTGTGGAAATATAGGGCCACTGGAATTTCAGCTCGTGGAAATATAAGACCACTGGAATTTTGGGTCGTGGAAATATAAGGCCACTGGAATTTTAGGTTGTGGAAATATAAGACCACTGGAATTTCAGGTCGTTGAAATATAGGGCCACTGGAACTTCAGCTCGTGGAAATATAGGACCACTGGAATTTCAGGTTGTGGAAATATAGGGCCACTGGAACTCCGGTTTGTGGAAATATAGGGCCACTGGAATTTCAGCTCGTGGAAATATAGGACCACTGGAATTTCAGGTTGTGGAAATATAGGACCACTGGAATTTCAGCTCGTGGAAATATAAGACCACTGGAATTTCAGGTCGTGGAAATATAGGGCCACTGGAGTTTTGGGTCGTGGTAATTTTAGACCATTGTGATTCCGAGTCGTGGAAATATTATATCTCCGGAATTGCGGGTCGTCGCTCTTACACTCCGCTAGATCCCGGCTGCATCATTGCTCATAAACACTGTTTATGCAGTCAAGTGATTAGTCATCGACCTCCATTCGCTCATACGTCATTTTACTCAAAATGCACTGACACGTGTCCGAACAATGAATCCACATATGATGCAATTTTTCATTAGGTGAAAGTCCATCACCTTTAGACTCTAATTATTTAAAAGAAAATTACCTCTTTATTTTCAACTTCGTGATTAAGCCTTCCAAGGTTAATTGCACTTTTTTTATCACAGTTATGATGTAACATGTCCCACAGACCTACCTAAAGTTTCACAAAGAAATCGGAATTGAGGAAATAAAGAATCTTCAGCTGGTTCGTATTAAATTCGATGGTTATCGATCAGGTTCTAAAAATATGTGATAGTTCAACGTGGAGTTTGCTGCGTTATAATGAATTCACGGACCATCAGTCATCATTTTAATCAAAAGAATATCAAAGAGCTATCCGATTCCAATACGATCTTTAAAATCTGCAACCTCATCTGAACTTAAAAGAGAGAGAAAGTATTTGATGTTTTTAAACTTTGTAAAATTTTTATTTTCAGTCATCGTGGCAATCAGATCTTCTTTTGCTTCCAATTCAACATTACCTTGTTTCCAGTGTGTCCCAATTTGTGCCTCGTCAGAAGGTGGTGTCCTTAATTAGACAGGCGTTAACTAGGCTCTTAATAATCAGGATCCTCTTAACGCCCCACGGAATCAGGTGTAATTAGGGCTTCGTTAATTCGAATCTGTTCATTCTCGCTAGATTAATCAGCTCTTCTACTCGCCAATTAGGATCTTAATAATTGAAATTCTGATAAAGTTAAAATTCGCTGATCTAGGATTCAATGAACGGGCACGAATAAGATCTACAGTGAATTTTCAAATTAAAATCTATCCCAATTATAATTTTCAGCTGTGCTTCTCCTTGAATCTCAACTAACATTGATTTACCATCATTTTAATTAACGAAAAAAGGAAAAGGGGAAGAACAAATGAACACAAGAAAAATATAAAGTAAATCTTGATTTTTCTCTCAAATTATCTGTCCATTAAAAAGAAAAAGAAAAGTAGGGAGCAGTGAACGAAGGAAGTTTCGTAGTAATCATCGTATCGTTTATTTCATTTAATAACTACATTAATTTCTCTTATACATAGTTTCATTTTCTTCTCTCCCTCCGCCCTCTCGACTTCTCTGCATTTACGTACAACTGTGTAACATTTATAATATCTTTTATGTTATAACCTAACAACGTTTAACGCAACACACGTTTTTCCCTCCCACTTTCACTCATTCTCTCACTCTCACCCTTATCCTCAATATATATTTTACTCCATTTTGTTTGTTAGTATCTCTTCTGGTCGCTCCCTTTTGCCCTAAACAATATACTTTTTCTTCTTTTCAATTTTTACCCGCGAAAGCAAAAGAACGACCCTCGTGCAGGTGTGTTATAGATACATACATACACATAATATATATCATTATATAATATATAAAATTTAATGTGTATATATATATAATATGTCTGCTTGATACTTAGTTATATATATATATATTTTATATACATACATGCACATGATTTTTCTCGTTAATTAACTACGGACAAAGTAAAAGTTTGCCTCCTAACTTCACCTCTTTTTTTCTTTCTTCATCTGTTTTATAACGGAGACTAGACAGCTATCTTACTTTTTTTTTTTTTTTCATATAGAAGTTTTTTGCGTTTGAGCAGCATTCGTTTATCTCGCTTGCTTGGAAAAAATATATCGTTCGTTTGCTAGAAAAGCGATACACTTCAAAAAAATTTATTGCTTTTGAATTGGGTCGCTCTTCCCGCGAAGCTGCGATATTGAAAATTGTATACTTTTAGCTTCAGAAGTGCTTTCGATGGGGAATAAAGGGAATGCGGGATGAACGAGGTGAATGAGCGATCGAATGGTGTTTGGCTACTTTATTTTCTAGCATTTCCGAGGAAAATTCGCTGTGTTTTGCGACGGTGCTGTCGTTGATAAGGTTCTCGTCACTTTTAGGGCCTCGTTCATCAGTTTGATCGATCCTGCAACCATTCGCTGCAACACGTTTTCGTTCCTCCCCTATCTTTTCATTTCGCGTTTTTCTCTTTTACTATCTTTTTTGGCCGGTTTTGTGTCGTTCGTATCGCGCGCGCCTTAAATTGCCGTTTGAGACAGAAGGAAAATTGATTTTCATAAATATATACCAATTCCAATACCAGATGAATCTTTTTTACCATAAAAAATATCAATTTTCGTTTAATTTACAATATTTCGTGTACATAAAGAAAAATAAACAGTTTTAATTAAATTGAGGTTAGGTTCATTGGTTAGCTCGAAACGAAAAATAAACAGTTTCTTTGGTTAAATTGGAGTAGGTTAATTAAATTGAGGTTAGGTTCATTGGTCAGCTCGAAGCGAATCAGGTTAGGTTGGGTTGCATAATGTTAATTGTAAATATATACCAATTCCAATACCAGATGAATCTTTTTTACCATAAAAAATATCAATTTTCGTTTAATTTACAATATTTCGCGTACATAAAGAAAAATAAACAGTTTTAATTAAATTGAGGTTAGGTTCATTGATTAGCTCGAAACGAAAAATAAACAGTTTCTTTGGTTAAATCGGAGTAGGTTAATTAAATTGAGGTTAGGTTCATTGGTCAGCTCGAAGCGAATCAGGTTAGGTTGGGTTGTGTAATGTTAGGTTGAAAGCGAACTTAAGGAACAGCTTCAGACAAAGCGTCCTCCTTCAGGAGGCTGATTAAAGGATCAGAGAATCCAAGGGTGCGAATGGTGCGACTTTCCATGGGGCGTGCAATTTTCCGTGGGAAATAAAGCAGCAGTTGTTTGTTACCCCGGAATTCGAGTGTTGGCCCACTTAGGCCGAGTTTTGCCCCGTAGGAACGATCAAAGGGGTGGCTTTGAAGTGCGCTCCGGGGTAAGCCAGGCGTGCTTGTATGCGCCGCTTATTCATCTGTTCCTTTCACCGTTTCCATCTTCGCCCCAATGTGTACCGAGCCTCGCGGCTTCGCGGTGCTTTTTTCCCCCCTCTCGGGTTAAAACGCAATTCAGCACCGGGAAAGGAAGGAGAAAAAGGAGGGGGAAAAAAGGGATGGAAAAGTCCCTGTCCTCGGCGCGGAATAATTCAGAAGTCCCTCGTAGCCGCTAGGGCTACGTCAGTCCCTACTTTTACCTTAACCCCGCGAAATTTCACAACGAACCGCTTCACGCGCTTCGATCAACGGAGGTACCTCACCGGGAATCAACGTCACTGTGACTGGTTCATTCTGATTCTCGCGGACCTTTCATAAAAGACATCCCCACAGCGAAAGTGTCTCCCGCGGACGATCCGCGTCGCCGATATTTATGTTTCAATAAACGCTCGTAGGGCTTAAACCGAAGGATTCTCTTTGGGAAAGTGTAATAAAACACGCGACACCATTACTGGAAACGGTAAAGCGAGCGATTTCCTCCAGCTGACGCTGATCGATAGAGGAACACGGTGGGTTCTGGCGCCTGGGTATATGGAAAGTACCGGCAGCCTTCGTCTTCTTCGCTTTTACTCTCTTTTTTTTTTCTTTCCTCTTCCTCCTTACATCTGAACTGAACATTTTATGCATCTACGTTTCCCCCCTTTCTCTCGCCTGTTTCATAAGGAAACTGTTCTCTCCTCTTCCTTCCCCGTTTAAAAGCAGATCCACTGCTTCTCAGTAGCGTAGCTCTACGCTCGGCCCGACCCCTTTTCAACTAAGTACTCCCGTCTCCTTTCTTCATCGCTCTGTCGCTCTTTTTTCACGCGTCCGGCTCGTTGTTTTCTCCTCCGCGTCTTTTTCCTTTCGTTTTATCGAAAGAAGTGCCGTCGACTGTTTCGGTCTGTCCCCGCCACCTGTTCCTCCATTTTTTTCTCTCCCAGCCAGGCGTGTCTCTTATTTTTGTTTAGAAGACGGTAAAACGGAAAGGCAGGGATGTGTTTGCGTGGCGAGTTAAAGGGGACAGGTTGAACGAAGGGTGGTACAGCGAGGACAAGGATCGTTGAAAATTGATAAACTGTTCATTACTAGGCGTGGAATAAATTTGCCGGGATTGGTTTTGTCCCCGGGTCGATATCGGTACATACAGGACACCCGGCGACGCATCGACGGTGAACGAAATAACCGCAAACGTCAGCGAAACGAAAACTGGCTCGCGTCGCGTTTACGCGCGATCGAGTCGTTTAATTAGCCAAATGACCGCGCTCCATTTCTTTTTGTTTGTTCGTTTTTTTTTTTTCAATCAATTTTCCTTTCGTCAAAACCGTTCGCAATTGTTTTATATAAACACCTAGCAACGATTGACCTGCCCTCGAATCATCGTAACTGCTTAAGCGTACTCTTTTTCCGTCGTAATGACAATTAGGCCTGTCGAGATTGAGAAGCGATAATTTCATTAGCGAAAAATATATATGTGTATATATATATATATAGTCTCTCTGTTAAATTACCTTTAAAGGGTTCACGATTCCCGAAGAGGTTTTTAGAACCGTATTCGTTTTAGTGGCTAGGCTCGAACGAAAAGGAATTTAAAAAGAAACAATTGTTCTTGGAATCGGTGATTTTTCAGGGACGTCGCGTCGGGTTATCGGCGACATCCTGAACGGCATCGATCCTGATGAATTGTACACTATAAACCGCACACGCAGGAACAAACTATCTAGAGACAAATATTGACCCATTTCGCTTTACAGACTACCACGGACTTAACCGAGTTCTCCACCCTGTAACAAGTTTCATTGACATTTTTTTCTTTACCAAGTCGATGATTAATTCGAAGTGAATTAAAGGAAAATTAGCGTCGTGGTAGATGAAGATTTCAAATTTGTTCGAGGGAACATGTAATCGTTCGTGGATAGTCCGTTTCGACGATAATGGTCCGAGCGTGTTTCACGTCGAGGCACTAATCCTAACATTAAGTTTTCACGACGATACTCGGGTAATTAACTAATGATATGTGAGGACGTGCTTAATCTTTAATGAGATGAGTGCGTTGGACGCTGGAAAAGCGTATATATACGGCCCTGCGTTTACTCGTCTGGCGAACGTACGTCGACTGGACGTCACGGCAACGTTGCTAATCGTTCTTTGCGGACCGCCTTTAGTGTCACGTAAAGGAATGACAACAAACTGGGTGGCGTTAGACGTGAAACGACCGGTCGGCGACGAAGTCTCATAACCCTCGGACGGCGGACCATGGAGAGAGCCCCAATCTAAATGAAGGTTTCTTGCCTCTTTTTAGTATTCTTCCAATATATGAGATTCTTTCGATCATAAATGATATGTTTATCTTTCGGTTAACGTCTCCGCTGCTCGAGGGTCAACTCGCGACAGTTCAGAGCCAATGATAACTAGGTAGAAAATATTCGTTCCTCTTGCTGTAATCAAAATACCGAATCCTTTCTCTCTGTTCACGCTGTCACGCACGATGATTAAAGACTCGATGCTCTGGCTACGAGAAAAGATCACTAACGATACAATCAACTCTCTCTATATGACGTATTTATATAGGTGATATGTACCAAATGGAAGATTCGTGTTTCAGCGACGCATTTGCCGCGAGACCGGGGCAAACTGTTCCAGTTCCTTCGTTTAAGCTCGTTCGGTATGTTTGGTTTTACGTAGGCGAAGTCTTGGGAACTTGTTCAGAAGCTTTCAAAGTATTTCTAATTCGGAAATTGTACATTCTCTTTGAAATGTAGGTCCCAAGGAGTTATTTCGAGTTGGATGTAAGTTAGGACCTAGTATGCTGCGTTTATATTAGGCTCAATTAGGTCTACGAATAAATTTCCACATTGTTCTCGCAAAAATATTAAATTAGAACCAAAATTAGTTATTTTCCTGCATTTAGGACCATCAGAATCTTCTGGGATTAAGATTAGGACTTGGATTAACCGATAGGCTACCTGTATGTTAGGCCCAATTGAGATCCAGCTCAACTTAACCTAACCGAACCCTGGGTCCTTTCTTCCTAAATTCCACTCTAAAAGTTTCTAAAGCTTCCAAATTTGAAAATTATTCGTTTTATTCGAGAAAATCCTCAGAAACTCTGAGTTAGGCTCATGTAGACCTTGGGACATCCCAGCGACCATCTTCGGTCGCCCACTTTCTTTCGGTTTACCATACTCAGTCCCTTCTTATGCCTTGCTATAAAAGTCTAACCGATGGTTTTACGTCTGCCAATTCCCAAGGATACTTTTCTCAGCAACCGGAAATCCCACGGAAGTCATATCCCTGATAAAATGTCCTCCAGCCTCGAACAGTTTGTTCCCTCAGGTGTTCTCGGGCGAAACAATCGCTCTTCGGTGGTTGATCTTTCATCGGAATGATCAGACGGCCCTTAACGATCTATCTTAATCAATATTCCGGCTAAGTGTCACTGTGTGTCTGCGTCTGTGGAGCTACGTTGCGGAGCAAATTACACGGGTGCCTTAATTACCTTAGGTACGTCTCTACGTCAACTTGCTCGACGGCACGCGTAATCTCAGCTGTACAGCTGCATGTGTGTAGGTGTGTGTATTCGTATTTAGTATTTATAGATTCATATGTATATGTATACGTATATGTACATCGCTTAAACAATACATCTCTTAAGTTCCTATTTTTTGTTTTCTTGTTAACGTGTTTACGATTAATTCACGAGGTGCCATTTTTTGTTTATTTTTTTTCTTTACTGTTAATTATATTTATATATATATATATATATATTTATATATTTGTGATCTCTCTGACAGCTGTGTAACGAAGCTGAGAAATCGTTTTATCTTCCCCCCAATTTCCTCGGTTAACCCTTGTCGTGCCTCAGGGGTGCGCGGACCTTTTTTTTTTTTTTTACACCTCCCCGTTTTATTCCTCGGAAAACAGACCGAAAGCGGTAAAAATGGAACGAAATTTCTTGTTATATTGAAAGTTAACGTGTTTATCTCTGGACACACTGCCAACCCTTCGGGGTTCTTTAAACACAGAGAAATGGTAACTTTGAAAAATATAAAATAGAAGTGAAGAAGATAAGAAACTGTTGGCAGTGTGTTAACTCGGAGATCGATAAGAAAGTCTACTCGAAGAAAGAGAAGTAGAGTAACCCGAATCGACTCGAGAAAAGAACCATATTTTCACTTAGTTTTCTTTTTTTTTGTTTTTTTTTTTATTAAATTCTGCACCCTTGACGCTTGTCCCTCGATTCTCGAGATTTTCTCGAAAATTTGACCTGGACTCCTTCCTCCCAACGGATTATCCAAGTTCCGTCCTCCATTGTTAAACTCACCATTTTCCTTCCTTTTCCTCTACTTTATTAAACCTTGTATGTGTGTTTGTTTTAGTATCTCCTAGCGATTTAATTTATCTACTTGTTTAAACGTTTACTTCACCGACGGTATTGTCATGTTAGCTGTGCCCATCTTGAAAGTCCAGATCAAAGGTGGTGTCCCCTTTAGCGATCGTGGTCCTCTTGAGCTCGTGGCGTCTATTAATCCCTTTTGGGTTCTCTTTTTATCTCCTTACAGGATCGTTCTAAGGGTCGAAATATAATTCAAGAGAGCTTTGAACGGTGTTCCATGATTTCGAACGAGTTTCATCCAGGGACCAGCGAGCGATCTCGTAGTCCTCCTCCTTCCGTTTGATTCGTCTGGAATGCAAAGTAGATTTGTTGTCTCGTGGGAGGTTCCGGATCATCGGAATGCCAAGCAACGTTTACATTAATGGAAAATGATTGTGCGATCGTAGAAGACTACGTTAGGCCGTGGCTGTTCTCCTCCATCCGGCAAACATTTATTGTCGTTCGACATTTCTCGCGACACCTTGTAGAGTTTCTTGGTAAAATAAGCGTCTACAAGTTCCTAACGGAGAGACACGAAGAAGGATGTCCTAGAAACAAGGACTGGGTCCATTGCCCTCCCTAATTCCATGGTATTTGGTTGAGGGACTTGAGAGTTCCAGGATCTTTGGGTTCGTTGACTCCTCCTATACTGGAGGAAACCCTACTTCCATGATACTTTTTGGGGGTTTGAGAGTCCTAAGTCTGCCTCAGTTGGCTACCTTCATTGTCTTCGTATGGTGGTCCCTATCCCATGCTTAACCGTGGAGAAATAAGAATCGTGGTCTTTTTATTCGTAGGCTATCTTATAATTAGAATAATTTTGCAAAAATAAACATTTTCATACTGCGACAGAATGGTTTGAACAATCTCTTACTCTGCGACAGAAAAGTTCATTAAATTCTTCCACATCTGGAAACTGAAGGCAACCTTTCAAGGAACCATGTCCTTCGAGTTCTGAGCGACGTGAACAGTACCCGACAGACTGACTTTCGATGAACTAGAGATTATTTATAATGATTCCGACAGCTCTCCCTCAACCCCTGTGTCGCCAGTTCTTTCCACCGTTATTCGTTAGGACGAGCAAATGGTATTCCTGGTTCGAAGGTGTTGTCGAGTTATTTGGAGGACACCAGTCTGCACTTAACCCGTTGAATTTTCGAGAGCCATTCCTCCTATGTAGAACCTTCAAGCGGCTTTCTAATCGTACTTTCCTGTATTTTCTGACTGTCAGATTTAACATGAAATTTGGTGTTCAATAAGAATTAGTCTTGCGCCTACTTTTCACAATTTTCAATTAGATTCGCGGAATTTTTCCCATAGGAAGTGTAACTATCGCAGTTCCTCCATTGATTTTTCCAAGTAAGGTGCTTTTCCATGTTCGGTCCGAGTGAAGGATCTCCAGGGGAAGAGTTCTCGACGGTTGGGATGCTCGAAAAACGAGTGGTCTCACTGAATCTTCGGGAATATTTCATCGAACTTGGTCTCCTGCAGGAGCTGCAATGAATATTCTCGACCGTTGGTCTTCCAAAGTTTCATGCCCGTCCGGTCGATACTTGTAAATCGTTTCACCTATATCTCGAACGTTTCAGGTCGACTTACAATCTTCTCAAGCCAATTTCACTTTGTAACTCGCGCCAAATCGTTCCGCAACTTTTTCCCCCCATCCCCCCTCCGAGGCTTTTCCAGAGGCAACAATCCGACCTTCCACAAAGCCCTTGGTTGATTCCAGGATCGGGCATAAAGCATGGGATCGATTTAAAGCGTTCGAACCATCGGAAAGAATCGAGAAACCACGTAGCCAAGGTTTTGGACGGGATCCAAGCGATCGTTCGCGACCTTTCACCCTTCCCCCCCCCCGGCCTCACCCCTCTCTCGTTCTTATGCAAAACGACGCACTTGTTGCTCGTTTTACTGATGAAACTTTTGTCACGAGTCCATCGATTGCACGAACAGGTGGTTAATCGCGGCCAACCAACTGTTTACTGCGACCAACCGTCCCAACGGAAACACGTTTTTACCCGTAGTCCTATCGATCGGTCAGCTCTGCTCTCTGTATTATTTATGCAAATCGGATCACGGAGGTATTATCATTTGAATCAGACCGACGAGCTTGCCCGCAGACCGAGTCCCATCTATTTTTATTCAAATCTCTTGGTCGTCCGTGTTTTCCTGGACAATCGATACAAGAAAATCCCTCTTCGATGTTACCTTCCGTCACCTCCTCACTTCATTATCCACGTTTCCAAAGGTGTAGCCAATTTCCTAGGTTCACAATGTCTCGTCGGTTTTCCCCGCTAAAACTTGATAGGTGCAGCCTTCGGAGTAGAAGTGCCGATGAGCTGGGACACGCTCGTTAAGGTGTCCTGGTTTTTCTAACGACAGCCTGCTCGCTCATCAATCTCTGAATCCTATCAGTTTAAATCCCATGATCCAGGGGGGGTTGGAATGAAATCTGTTTGGTCGAGGAAAGACGAGCAGAGATCATGCCGCTGAGGAGGACCAAGGAATGGCTACTGCTTTACTACGAAGCCCCTGTCTAATCCCACGTTAAGTCCCTGTAGAAACTCGCTCGTAAATCTGGAATCAACCGGAATCAGCCGTTCCTCGTTCGTGGGAGGGTTTCTGTTTCTTTTATCGTTTGGAAGGGAGAAAAGTAGGCATGGTTTGACGCTGACGGGTGCCGTGATCCATTGATCTACCCGGCCGATAAGCAGCCTGTTAACCGCTAACGAGATTCTGAACCTGAAACGCACTGTTCGTACCCCGGACCTGGCGGCCTTTCAGGGAAGGCTCGATCGATACCGGTTGTCCCTCTTACGGTTTTAGATGACTCTCGAGAACGCCAGGATCGACGATAGCACCATGATAGCCAGGGTGTTGCGCAGATTCTCAGCCCCGGCTGATACACTCGAGGCTATCGCGCTGTTGCATGCCTCCTGTATCGGATCTGGAACATCAACAGGAGAATAGAGCACGTGGAATGTTGGTGGAAGTTGCTGGGAACGTTATGGGAGATATGGTGAAAGTGGAAGCGACAGGGAAGCCGAGGAATCTCGAGAGTATGTGAAATGGGAGCACTCTGCTGATGCGCAAAAGGATACTATACAAGTGCAGTAGTGTTCCGAATGGGAATAGGGAATGTAGAGCTCCAGATACTGGGGTACAAACAATAAAGGCTAGAAAATAAGGGTTAGAGCGTCTAGGATTAGAAAAAAGAAGGGGGGATTGAGGATTAAGAACTGAGTACTTAATGTTAGCAAAGATTAAGTGTCACGTGTGGTATGTCCTAGGCAACATAGAAATGGAGAGGGCAAATAAAGAACACAAAATACTTTTAATAACTAAACTTGGTACACAACAGTTCATTAATTAAATTTCGCCACCACTTTTTTCCAGAATGGTACTGCCTGACAATGCTGGCTCACATGTTCGCCGGGGACCAATTTCAACAGTGAAACGCTTAATTTATCCAATTACCCGAGCTCATTAGCAAGCCAGCAGCAATTTCAGTGCCGCCATTCGTTAATGGCTGCCAAGAACAGAGAGAATTCGTTTCGCGTTCATTTAGCGCGGTATAAATATTCGAACACCTTAAATCATCATCCTTCAGTGATCCTCCTGGCTGATCGAATATCTAATACCATATTCCCTTTGTCTGTTCCAGATTGGCTGAAATTGCAAAAGGAAAAAGGACCGATTGCAAACGCCTGGAATCTGACTAATGACTTCATCAAAACTGAACGGTGAACATTAGGGATCCCTAAATATCCAGCAGAAATGGTGGCACGCGATTCGAAAGGTTACCATCGAATGGGATCGATCGTGACCTGCTATTTGTATCAAAATTCCGGGTTACCTTGAATTCTTTGACGCTACTTCGCCAGCAGCTAGGTGGTTCTTGAAAGAAACGAGAGGGACAGCAATTTGGACGCCATTAGAGGTGAGGTTTAAGTGTCCTGTTAATTAAAGCGACGAGGAAATTGGTAGCTGCCGCTGTACATAGTAATGCTCCGAGTTATTTTCCAGCTTCAACGAGGAAGGTTAAACACGAATCAAGGTAAGCCATAATTCCGAGATTGTCCCGGTTCGTTCTGACTTTCAAATTAGGAGAATTGATACGTTAGATTCGACAGGGGGGGATCGATGGAGCTGGTATCTCCTCGCAATGGAGATGTTATTTTGTGGTCGGACAATTCCCATACGACTGGTCTCGATTGTGTAAAGAAGAAAGGCCGGTGTATTCGCTTTTCCAATATTAATCTGGGAATTGCAAGTGGCTCTAGTCTTCTGTGGTCGAGCCAATTCTCATGGACTTCTAGTGATCAGCCATTGAAAAGGCAACCTCGATGGACCTACGGTGACCCAATGTCGACGGAGAAGAAATTACTTTCGCATCTACTCTCGTTCCTCTCCAGATCGACAAGATTCGTGAAACGGACCTTCAGATTTGAGCGGGGACCATTTTCTTCTCGAACCTAACCCCACTTTTTCATTAGGATCAACTCACTTTCCGAACCTAACATCACTTTTTCATTAGGATCAACTTACTCTTCGAATCTAACCTCAGTTTTTCATTAGGATCAACTTACTCTTTGAACCTAACCTCACTTTTTTGTTAGCATTGATTTAATTCATAGTCTGGCTGTGACTCAGCTTTTTGTTCCTTTTTTAAATGAAACCGTAATTAATTGGTTTACGATGTAATGCCTCGTTAGCATTTATAATTGCGTTGTACTCGCCCGAGACGTAGAAGAAACAAAAGGCGCAGGCAAAAAGTTGCGTCGCAACTTCCCGATCTGCCTAATTATGCAAAACCAATTTAATCTTGAATGCATATTTCAGTGACTTATTCATGAGTCACATCTGTCCCAGATTTAATGCGCAGATAATTTAGAATCAATGCCAACTTTGACCTACCCTAGCCTCCCTGCCTTCACATTCTACGATTGTTCTTCGCCTACGTTTTTTCAGGTAAGTCCTAAGTTAAACCTAATCAATTCGCAGCTAATTAAATTCCAGCAGAGGAACATTATATTGGTGCAAAGTGTAATTTGATTTGGTGGTGTGAAACAGTGTAAAGGTGGTGAAATGGGAGATGCAACAGTGTCCTCGTTCGGTTCGATCAAACACCGGGATTAATCCGAAACAATCTCGAACAAACAAAAGCACGGAATTATGCGAGTGAATGCGAAATGAGAGCAGCCGTGTTGGAACGTCACGCAACAACAACAACCGGTTGGATAACGAAATGCGGGGAACACGGAAAATCTCGTGGGTATCGATCCGGCGGGGCTTGAATTATTTATCGAAGCCCCGCCTATCGCCGATAGTCTCACGCAGATAATTTCAGTAGCCAACCAGTTGTTGAGGGGTGCTAATGCATTAAGTAAACGAGGCATCGATCTCTCCGAGCAAGGACACCCAAGATATCTCAACGAAGGAATGACAAATGAAGACTGTCGTGACGAAGATACAGTGATGATAAGCTGATGAAAATTCTTTGCTGAAGTTTATTTTCTGTACTCATTGTGTGCGTTAGGATAACCACTTTGAACAAGTGTTGGATAGTTGAAACAGTGATTGATCGTTTGGGATTCTTGGTGGGTCGAGTGACTAGTGCATTGGTTTTTCAAAATAGTGGCAAACAAGGATTCTGTGCTTCGTCCCTTAAGGCTGAATTTAAAATGGAGTAGCAGTTGGGCCAGTAGGCCTCAGGGGCGAGAAGGATGGCCCTGGCCCCTAGCTCCATGCCCAACATAAATTCGCCCTAAGGGAAACCTCCTGTGTGCAAAAGAAAGTGAAGTAAAAGTGATCCTGTACCTGGTACCCCCTGCAACCTTGGCAGAAACTCATTCCAGAAGGCGCAGGACGTGGTGCGCGGACCTTTGCCGAGGCCAGTCCTCTCCGCGTCGAAGATAAAATACTGGGGCTGATCCCTCGAGTATGGTGGCCACTCGGACTCCTCGTTCGTCGGTTTCCTAAAAAATAATTCATTGAGCCATCAAGAAACTCCGACTCAAGTTAACCAGCAAGGAAAGAAATGAAGACTTCAAAGATAAAAATAGTCCGGCAACCCTGGACGGATTAATATGAGGCGTTGAAAGAGAACTGTCTGGTTGATAATTAATTAATTCGGGACATCGCAAACAGGGGCAGTTAACTGGTTTCGTTTAAAATCGATATTAACGCCTGTCGCGGCTAATAAATTGTCCTGCGTTCTATCAAAGTGCTTTATTAATTGTTGCAAGAGTACCGCAACCTTTTCGACGGGTCAATCAAACATTCATCAGGCAATTCTCCATTATTAAATTACTCGTCGATGGTGTTTAATGCCTTCCCCTTTAAACAACGGGCCGCGACGAGGGATCACAGAACTCGCAGAAGGAAGACGACTAAGCTCGACGTCGAAGAATATGCGATCGAATTAAAAATATCACGATCGGATCGTTATAGATCCTTACGTGGTAGGATTAAAAAAGAATATCGACTTGGAGCGTGTTCAACGGTCATGCGATATATCGAGCCGCCGTGTTCACTGTCGATAAATAATTCCTCGGTTTCTGCTAACCCAGATTGAAAAGCTTTGCGCATCGTATCCGCGGGCCAATCGTTAATATTTCATCGTTGTTGCCAAATACGACACTTCATCCGAAATTAATCCAGCGGATGGCTCTGCGCTTAGGTAGCCACGTCACTGGAATTATTAATCCAGCTTCAGATATGGAACCGCCGTTCTATTCTCATGTCAAAGGTCATCGTAACGAGGCAATTGACGCAGAGAACTGTAAAACTGGAGTGGAAGAGATTAAAGGATAAAATGAAACGAATTATAGGAAGCCGTGTGTCGTGTCAAGTTAGGAAATTTGTATAATTTCGAGACACGTTCATGCAAGTGAAATTTGTTTCTCGGATGTCTCCTATCGCTTCAGGCCCTTCCGCCGGAGCTTCCTTGGCTTCTTATTCAACCGAGGATATATTTAAAACGAGGCCAGACGTGAATAGCAAATGCAATTTTAAGCAACCGCGACTAGGACGCGGCTTTTAAATAGCCGAACGAGAATCGACGGCTGTCAGACTGTCGTGTGAACTTTCGGAGAAATGTCGGAATGAATAAGGATATACGTCCTATCCGGTAATGGACGGATGTCTTGCGCCTCACCGATGGCACTACGATGGAAATAAATAAAGATTAAAAGAATCCAATTTGACGCGTTTAGTCATCGATGAGAGGTGTCCTCGGGAAAGATAAAAGAATGTGAAATATTAGTTAAGAAAAACATTTTGGCTTAAGTTTTTCTCCAGCCAGAACGATGCGTCATAATAATCTAGAATCTCGATAAATTTGTCTCGTCCCAGCCCGTTTTCTTTTGACATGATTTACGAGCTGTTAATCCGACCAAGATGAAATATCGTTCAATTCTTATCCTGTTAAATGAACGGTATGTGACGCGGCAAGAAACAGTGTGTCTCTCTCCAGGAAGGAACGAGGAACACACGGTCTCAGGCTTAACTGATAGTCCGATATCACAGCCCATACTGATTCGTGGAATAACGTAGCGGGTGAACAGGGAATGCGCGTATGCGGTAGAAACAAAAATGCGATCAATAATATCATTTGGTCGAAAGGAAAATTGACCTTTCTCGATATTCTGTACCCATAGAATTTTATTTCGATGCTTCGTCCCGGTGCGCGACATTGTTTCCAAGGTGGATCGTTCCGCATACTCCGCGATAGCGTATAAGTGGATTCTAAAAGGAGCATCGAATACGCAAGAATTTTTCGTCGAAGTAGGTCGAACGTCCTGGCCGTGTCAAATTTTCATGAATTTTTTAGCGATCCCCGGACCTACGGGTCTCTTACTTGGAGCATCCTTCAAAAATTGAAATTCCACGGCGGATAAAATTATTTCCCAAAGTACCCTCGACCTACAAAATCAGGAACTTCCTAAGCAAAGTGTCCTCCGCGGGATAAACTCCCTCCAAGATGTCCCATTCAGAGACAACCGAAAAGAGCCGCGATCTCGGGCTTTTCAGCGGGATACTTGTTACATAATAAGACGTTCAAGAGAAAACTTACCCCGAGTAGGCAAACTTAGAGAAGTACTGTATCATCCTGTAGGATAGATTCCGTTCCTTGTCGCTGTACATCAGGGACGTGTTCATCGGATGCCCAAACACGTACTCCACCTCGTCACCGTGCATCACTCCCATCCATTCGCCCCATAGGTTTGTGCTCGTTCTCTGTAACACGGTTTCCCGTCGGTTATGCTTGCGTTAAACGCCCGTTCAAATACATTCTCAGCTTGTCGTCGTGTATCAGCCCTGCCTGCTGACCCCATAGATCGACTCTCACCCCGCCACGACACGGTATCGTGTTGTCATTAACCGCTCGCCAACCCCTCGCAGTTTGTCAGTTTTCATTCCGGTTGTGTCGCTTTCACGGGGAAGCGCTTTTCGCGGAAGAATTAACGTTCACTGTTCAGCGGGCGAGGATCACTTTAGAGTAACAGAAGATTTATTACTCTGAAGCGACAGTACAGCCACTTCGGTACCGTCTGTTGCTGTTTCAGGGCTCTGTTATTGGGCCTACTGCCGTATTACTGACGACTGTTAAGTATTTCCTATGGTTCTACCAGGGCCCTTAGGATTTTAGGGATGTGGGACTAATGCAAGGTCCTCAACATTCCAGCAGGTCGCCGCGAGGGTTTTAGTCAGTAGAAATTCAACAATCCTTTGCTGCCTTCTCCCAGGAGACGGTAAGGAGTCTTATGCAAGATTTCCTCAGGTTAAAAAAAAGGTACTACTGGACATTGTTGGACACTGGCAAGTACCATTAGCCTCTACTGAACACTGCAGTGCACCATGGTACCAGTGAGCAAACTGAGACATAATGCGCCCCATTGGCACGATGACCTAGTTTTATTACAGCTACAAGTTTAATTCAAGAAGAAGATGAAGCGACTGGAATCGTCCTACATTACTTTCAAGATTTATTGAGATTCCAGACACGTTTACAGCATAGTCAGGTGACTCATAAAAGCTGAAATTATTCTAATATGGTGGATACGCTTATATACGAAGTCTTTGGAGGATCAACGAAGCGTCAGCGACCCATAGAATCCAATGAGCCCCTCTTGCTCCAGGACACATTCCCCGTTATGGTTGTCGTCTTCGATGCTGTTCCTGCCTGGGGCAAGGAAAATTGCGACCCGACCCTAACCGAGGGTTACGGGTGGAAATTGAACGTTTGTTCTCGTTGAATTCTACTGCCTACTGATACACAATGGGAGCCTATTGTTGGCTTCTAACTTCCTCGCAAAGAAATTTGGCATTCGACCTGACGGATGAGAGATTCCGGTAAATGTTTAGCCGGAGACCAATGTAGTCAACAAATAAAAGTGTCTGCGATCAAAATGACTGTCTCGGTCCCATGGGAAATTCAATCTGAAAGCAGAATTCTTCAAATTGCTTTCCAGAAAAACCGATTCATCTTCGATTCGAGAAGACCAGATGTTTCAAGCGGAGAATTAATTATTCTCAAGATCGTTCCGCCCGTATCAACTTCAGAAATCTGGGGCAAACTTCATTCTGACGAAAGGAATCTTGGAATATGGTTCAAAAATAGTGTCAGATCCATCTCGTGAATCGTGCTATCAATTTTTATTGGAAAAACCCGCAGGTTTTTTTTTGCATGAGACGTCTGTTAATTACCGATAAGGGTGAACAAACACTGCAGGTGTTCCGTTGTTTAAACTGCAGTATTTGCGATTGGAACGCAAATTTATCGGTGTTTACAGATACCCAGTAACAATACACTGCACCACGGCGGCGATTTTTCAACGACCAAGAGCAGCGCCTGGTAAATACCGTCACTCAGATTGTATTCCATTAAAAATGATGAAAGCCGAGCAATGTCCGCCCACAATACAAAACGGACTCCTGTCTTGGACTGAAGACTGCAGACCCTTAAAGTCTTTGCCACGCGGATGAGGCAATCACGAAGTTTCCTTCGGAATCCAATTACGATCGATGTTTTTGACGTTGACCTCTTCGTGCAATAATAAAGCTGGAATTAATTAAAATTCTTCGATTCAACTTTCTCTGCTTCGCAAACTCAGCCTCAGACTCGAGAAGCATCTCGAAAATACAGAAAGACTAAGCCTCGGAGCCTGATAAAGGATCCGCAAGGAAGATCTAATCGCATTAAGTAAATCATTAAACGAAACTCGATATAAGGTCCTGGATCTTGGCGAGATAAATCCAACTGGGTTTCGTTTACTTTTTGGGCTACTGTTCTAACTGGAAGGGATGGAACAGTCGCGTTTATAGTATTCCATCATGGAGGTCGTCTTATCAACTGGGCCATTTATTGATTCAACTCGGAGTATTCTTAAATCCCGGCCTGATTCGTCGAGAATAACCAGGAGAGTCTCTGCATAATACGACGTCTCGTCGAACCCGCGGAAAGGACCCGCTGGGAAACGACACAATGGAATCGACCAGGCTGACAGAGAGCTGCTTAGGTTAAATATAGTACGAACGAAGCCGAGGTCACATAGAATTATCACTGCCTCCATAATTGATATCAAGAGGGGGGGGGAATTTGGTGTCAGTGAAAATAAGTGTAGGTAGCAGCCAAGTGTGACGGAATGGAAACGAAGCAGGTAAGTGATCAGTCAAGTATAATTTGTTCAAACAGCTGCCAGTTCGAAATCAACCGACTGATCGAGCGTGAACTGTGCGAGACATCAGGTTTTCAATTGACCGCATTCCAGCGTTCGGCAAATAAATTCCCCCGACGTGTCCCGTGAACGATCGTGTCGCGAACTTTTAAGCTCCCTCTGAAAAAGTTGGATTACTCACTGCTCTCTACAAAGGCGAAAGTTGCCGCTGCCGTGGAACTTCATACGGAAGAAACTTAAAAGTTGAAAGTGCAATTTCTCTCGAGAAACAGCAGCGACATCAAGCCTCCCTACACGAAGGGACGTGTAGTTATTTATCTTTTCCTTAATGTATTGACTGTCACGAGGAGTTATCAGTTTCTTATAATTAAATTTGTCACGATAATATTGCCAAGCCACTTGGTCCCAAAATTGTATAAAGATTAATTAAGCAACGAAAGGTAATCCCTTTTGAGGAGGAAGAAAACTAAGTGCACAGCGGTTGAAAGAAAGAAGTAAGTCGAACAGAGGAAGCTGCAAATGCGCGATTGTCATTACGGCAATCTTCCTTGTTCGGTTAACGTCGTTAATTTTAACGATCCTTAAAATTACAAAGGCAACGGGAAGCGTCAGCGAGTGAAGAACGTCCAGAGGGAAGCCTTAGGGGCGGGTATAACGATACGGCGGTCGATAATGGACAGTGGAGCTGATGGATGACTGGAATTTCATTATGTATCTTTATTAAACGTGTATCGAGCAGTTTCTTTTGATTTTTCTCCCTTTACCTAGGTGGTGAACTGTGCTACTATTCGCTCTGTGTATTGTGTGTGTGTCAGTGTTGTGTTCTGTGAAAATATTCAGCAATCAGTGCCCTTGTTGGAAAGAGAGACAAACGGAAACAGTGATAAATAGTGGTAGTATGGTCGAACCAGGACCAATCGGACCACAAGGATCACTGAAAGTTGAGAAACTTGCATTCTCAACCCTGTTCGCGCAGAAGAGCGAGGCGAGACATTGAAAGGACACGTTCCTTTAGAAATTAACCCCGTTTCCGTCAAGGATAGAGGTCTGAATGCAACGTTTAATCGCGGACTGACCGAGATACTTAGCATCCGCGCAAAGCAACGTCTTTTCAAGTTCCTCTCCGGTCCCCCCGACGATTCCCGGAAAGCGTTCTCAATAGAAGCGCCGCCCCGTACCTTTGGCTACCACGATTCAACCCTTTCAATCGCGTTTTCACGCAGGATGAATAGTTCGCCGGTTCGTTCTTACTTCCATCGCTGTGAAAAATCATGAAACGCGATCTTGCTACGTCGATAATGAAGTTCCCTAGACACGCGAAGAGAACACGTTTTGAAAGGATTCCCCGTGAAACTGAACGAAGAATCATGGAATGAAAAGGAAGCTCTCAGTCTTCTCAGAAGCGTCAACTTTCATCGCGAGGATTTCGTTTCCATTAAATTCCGTCCAGGCTAATCGCTGTGGCCGATTCAGTGCTTAATGAATCGCCGCGAAAAGAACTGGTCCATCCGACTTGATTTATTCGCGCTAACAATTATTTTTCGACCAGAGAAAAAGAATCTCGAACGAGGACGTTCATTATTAGATGAATTGGAACGCTTTGCCCTCCGGCTTTGTATTACTTCAATGTGTCCCGGTTGAGAGGCGGGACGAGGTCTTTTGATAATGAACAATTCTTGGACCGACTGTTTATTTTAACGAGGAAGATGGGATTCTGTTTTAATTGACGTAACGGAGGGTATAATCAAATTGATTTTCTCCCAAGCCGCAAATAAGTACGAGTTCTGGGCCAGCATATTCAAAAGCTTTTTACATCGACGTAGAAAGATCCTGACAATTTGGATCTACAAGGATTCGTGGAGATTTTAGCAGTAACTGTGCAAATTTTTTATCCAAGTCCAAGGGTAATTAGTGATCCTAAAAGACTGATGTTGAAAATCGTCTCAAGCTCAGTAGTTGGACAAAGAAAAGACCAACGTAAAAAGAATCACTATACTGATGGAGAAGATGTGTTTTGACTTCAGAAGAACCTTGGCTCTAGATATACATACTCGTGCTTCGGGCAGCATGTATTTTCTTTCGTTTCTTTTTACCCGGACTTTGTTTCAACGTTAACCCGTTTCTGACCTACTTATCGGCTTTGAACTTATTTCACTGCAGCATAAAACTTGCGACTTCTTCTGCCGTGGACATTTCAAACTACATGGTTGCCTTTCATTTTTTTCTCTCCCTCCTCGTGTTCCTCTTCGTCCGTGAGCTGAAAAGCTTTTTCTCGGTGTTACTTTTTGCAAAAGTCTCTTTGGAGGACTGAAATGAAAAACAGGTTGACTCGGAAACATCTTCCGGGGATGTTTCGAAGGAAATGGTGATTGCCTTGAATCCTGAAGCAGAGCAAGCGATTGATGAGCAGAATCGCTAGCTTTGAAGGAATAAAACCAAATGAAGATGCCCGTTAGGTAAAGGACAACTTCCAGTAACGAGTACTCTTCGAGACCCAGGTACGTTGAAGTCGTGAAAGTGATGCTTAACTTTAAGTTGCCTCGGGGAATGGATTTTCTAGTGAGGTAGTTAACATTGAACGGAAAATATTTAGATTTCTTCCTTGATCAAAAATTTGGGAGGCCATAAGATCCTGTGTTTGTAAAAATAAGATAATAAAAATTATTTTGACCGTTGTTTTATGAGTTCTGTTGAAGAAGTGCAACTGTGCTAAGGGACATCTGTCCACAACAATGCAGGGAAATATACAAGACGTTAAAACGCCTGTTTCAAAGCGTAGCCCAACACGAGGAAGCAAAGCGCATACGCTTTGCATATGCCCGACGTTTCAAAGAGCCGAAAGAGGAAAGGCGTCGAAAAGGAAGAAACCGGAGACGTATTAACGTTTGGAAAAGGGAAAGCCCCCAGCGTAGCGGGTAAATCGTCACACAGGAAGAGAAGGAAAACACAGGAGGGGTTTCTTTAACCACCGAGCGAAACCGTTATTAAGATTACGAGCAGCGCGCATGAGTAATGACATCCTCCTTTGCTTCCAACCAGCGCTACCCTGATAAATTACCTCCTCCGCTAATTACTTGGGTCTCGGCGTTTCGCTAACGCGCGTTTCACGTCCCAGTTATTCGAGGATAGCGCGAAACTGGCAGAGATCGAGCGTTCACAGCGTTGCGAAAGCTTAACACGACCGAGTTAAGTGTTTATACGTTTGAGTATTCTGTTTTGGCGCACGCGACCTGACAGTCGACGCGCGCCTTCTTGACTTCATGTCAGAAAAGTGACACGCCGCAGAATTACACGTGTCATTGTTTTACATTCTAGGAATACTAGCAACAATGTTAACCCTGCGCATCCCAGAAGTAATGATCTAAGCCCAACCCCAGTACGAGGGCCGTATTCCTGCAGACAATGCAATCAGAGTCATAAAAACGGGATTCCCGTAGGGAAATAAAGTATTTATAGGGAATAAGGTTTCTAATGCCTACGGCCTCCGCTTTACACGGATTGGTACTTAAGTATACATGGGGTGGCAGCTATCATACCCATTAGAAGAACCGAAAGAAGGTACTGGGACCCCATCCTCCATCCCCCAGGGGGGATGGTAGTAAAGATAGCAACGGGGTACCAGCGCCATAGTCAATAAGGTGATCTGTGAGTGCAGAGGTGTTGGGATCCCCACACCCCCAAGTGTTATAGAAGTGGAGGTGAGTGTTCTAGCTGTGGCATAGTGAATAAGGTGGACAACAAGTGCAGTGGTGTTGGGACCTGCTCATATAACCCATAAGAAGTGCCATGGAAGTGGGAATGACAGTGTTCTAGCAGTGATATGTCTTGGACTCCTTGTCATGGGGTCCCTTGGACAAGTGTCATGATAGCTTTCCTAAGAATGCATGGAAGTGGAACTGACAGTGTTCTAGCAGTGATATACCTTGGACCCCTTGTCATGGGGCCCCTTGGACAAGTGTCATGATAGCTTTCCTAAGAATGCATGGAAGTGGAACTGACAGTGTTCTAGCAGTGATATACCTTGGACCCCTTGTCATGGGGCCCCTTGGACAAGTGTCATGATAGCTATCCTAAGAATGCATGGAAGTGGAACTGACAGTGTTCTAGCAGTGATATACCTTGGACCCCTTGTCATGGAGCCCCTTGGATAAGTCTCATCTATCCTAAGAATGCAAAAGTTCTTAGCACAAGCTTCTTTCCCAAATATGCCTGCATTAATTAAAGTGTAAAATATCCTCATCAGTGTTGTAGTGAGTCGATTTTTGACGTGGCGCAGGACGATTTTTCGTTCCCAGTGTGTAGCTCTGTTTGTTTAACGAAGCGCAAGCTAATTTTGCTGCCACGTTTACAATGGCGGTGTTCAACGGAGCGAGGTTAAAGCGTGAGAAGTGCAGCAAACGGGAGATTAAATGTGAGAGAGAGGGAAAAAGGCGGAGAAAATTGAAAAATTCTTCGGGACATCTGAAAAATTTATCTCGTTTTGATTCCTTGTTAGCTTTTCCCTTTAATCTCAGTTAGCCAAGGCTAATATAATATATTTCTTCGACATCAGCGCCCGTAACGTTCCACTCGGGCGTTACATAAATTGTGGAACTCTAATGTCCTCTTGAGCTAAAGAGGCGATGAAAGTTGAAGAGCCCTCATGAGCGGCCTGTATATACCCGCTTTTATAACCCCAACACAGGAACATATATCGAGAAATTTCGTGATAAACTCGAGGAAAGACCGACGAAGATCCCGCAAAAAAGGCTCAACTATATATGGAATCGAGAAAATTACGGTCTTCCGTTTTCAGAACAAGATAATAAAAAATAAAATGTAATTACATTTTGAATAGTTCAGAAGGTTTGATGAAATTTCTATTTCTTACCTTCACTTATTGACACTAAAAATTTTACAAGTTTAATTACGATTGCTTTCTTTATGAGACTGAATAGCAATAAAAATGGAAAAAGCTACCTTTCCTAATATCTATAAGACTTTTTATTCAACTGAAAGAAGTGCTTTTTAAAAGCTCGTCTTTGATAGTATCGATTCTTTAATGGCTATGCTTTTTGTAGTCCATCGTTCTCTTCAAAGACAAATAAACGATAAAGTCGAAGGATGGATGGTTAACGACAGGAAGAGAAAAAAAAAAATGAATAAATTTTCTGCTGACATGTTTGGTGAGCTTTCGGTTCGAAAAGCCATCATTGGTCAATCATTCGTTGACGTTTTAGACTAGTTTTTCCTCTCTGGTGGCAACGACCATGGAATTGTGGAAAAAAAAGGGAACGAAGCTTATTACGAGAACATCATACACCAGTTTTCTACGGCGTTATATATTTTTCATAATTGTTCAACACGCCACGAATGCGGTTAATTAAGTCTGAAATTATTCTATGGACCTGTTTGCACGGCCAACAAATGATACAGTTAATAAACAGTATAATCAGGGATTGCATAAATGTTTGTTTTTAATTTTATAAGAGAAATACTTGTGTATATAAAATGACGCGAAAGTACTGAGTCCTAATTTGCATTTTTTGCAGACTGTAACCGAATAGTAATTAAAAGAAGACTCGTAAATTTAAAAAGAACTCGAGTGTGAGTTAAAAAATGACAGCCATTCGGTCAACTGGTTAAATGATACCCAACGGAAATCAACCGAAGTGTCCGCTTTTCGAAAAGGAATCGATGATCTCTCCGTGTGAGACTGAATAATAGATTCAGTGAGAGGTCGGTTTCCAGCCTTTGCTGATAAGGGGTCAGCATCGGGCCTGGGAAAAGAATCACGAGCGGTGTTATCGTTCTCATTTGCCACCTCCACGTGACTCTTTGTGTTGTCTCGTGGAAATGTCAAGCTACGGTCTTCGCGATGGCGCAGGGCTATAACATAATAATGGATGACTATCGATTGGACGTGTTACACGTGACGCGTATCCGTCGATGTCTACGAGTCGCACGTGACACGATAAAAAAACCACTACCTACTTGAGTGAAGAAGTAGTAGTAGACCTTCATGCCACGATCGGCGAACAGTTGGGCGAAGTGTATCGATGGGCAGATAAAGAAATAATCGCCGACAACGTCCGCGACCATCTTCTGGTACGTGTAGCCATTGTTCACTTCCTCCCAGTCAGTGTACTGCAACAGAAAAACATGTTTATGGTCAGTGTGGGTGATATAGCGCACTGCTACTTATAGGTAGGACCCTTTGGTCGCCCTTAACCTGGAAGCCTTTATGCCAGACCTGGTTCTAACACAGTAGGACCCATGGCGTCGTGGGGTGCCCATAGCCCCTGCTAAAGGATACACTAATTGTAAGAGTGTACGGCTACCGTCGACTTAGTATTACCGGATAAAAACTGCGAGCGGAAGCGAGTGACAAGTTAAAAGGAACAGTGATTATTTAAAGTTTCAAGAGCGATAGGAAACTCGGTCGCTCGGGAGTACCGTGACTGGGCGGTGGTTAACTTCAGATTAATTAGCACCAGTGTTAATTAACATTACCGTTGATCGATGAATCCCTTGATTTTCGAAACGAACCAACGTAAACGATGTGGAACTTTCTCAAGTGTTATGGAAGCTCTCGGCGAACTGGAAAGTTACCGAGTCATTTAATGCCAGATTTATCATCTCTACAGTTGGACTTGGAGATTGACGGAAGGTTTTGTTACCGGACGAATATCGATCCGCGTTTTCGTGAATAATGGAATACCATTAATTGACAGACGTTGGTTCGCGGGGACAGCCAGTAGGAGGCGAAGAAACGCAGTTCCGTGGAGAACGAGAGATCGAAGAAGTAGCGAGAAAGTTTCCCGGAATAAAAGTTGAAGAGTTTCTTAATGAATCGACGTTGAAACGAAAGTTCACTGTAGTTACTTCAGTCTATAACTAAGGATTTCTTTTGCCTCCATATTCCAGGGGTACAATTTCACATAAACTTTCCAACAATGAAAACATTTCATAGAAGCGTATCGTTTCAATGTGTCCCTTCAATATTTACCTTCTACAAGGGAATAACCACTTCTGATTGGAATAAATTAACATGATTCAGGGGCTGGCCTAACGCGCTCCAAACTACGTCCTCAGAACGGTGAACGGATTTCGCGTGTTCTCCAATTAGCGGAAAATTTCCAGGCGCAGGAACACGAAACAAGTTTGATCGCTGAAAGATTACTTTGTGCCCCGCACAGGCTGGCAAGTTTAATGAAACGAAATTCACGTCCCGAGAAACGCGTTTCCTTGGTCCTTTCGAGCTAGGGACTGAAGAACCCAGCGTTCTATGTAATTAGTTGTTTGTACCAAGAGTTGCTGGTTAATTTAACCGTTTCAGTGGAAGGAAAAAGCTAACTGAGAAATGTATAGCATTATAGTTGAGGTGTAGATACTCTGCACAGTTGGTGCACATAGTCTGACGATTCTGCTATCTTTCACCATCATTTTCCGGGCGATCATTGCAGCCTGACTCGTTTCATCGTTAACGAAAGCCATGAGTAGACCCTGCCAAATCCAACCAAACCCGACGTCTCCGATTTCCGCGCCCGGCCGCCATTGATGCTCGTACGTTCAACCGTTACAGCACAGACAGGCTGGAATTAACGGTTTTGCCCGGGCACAGCGCGTAATATGATATCGTTGTACAAGCCGAGGAGTACTGGTTTGAGGCTTTAATCAAACTTTTAGTTGATTATGTTCGCAGCGAGACATCTAATCTGCGAAGCGTGACACGCTCTAACGAAGGACAGAGATATGAATCTCTTGGCTTTTATCGTTGAGCAATTGCAAAGCGCGGCCTGTTAACCTTTTCAAAATCTATAAAGTGTTGTCATGAAGGGCCTCGTACGCGGTTCGAATGGGATATTCTTCAGTGAAGAGCAATGAATGGCATGAACGAGCAGTAAACGTGAATCGTCGATAAAGATCCCATCAGCGTGGGACGAGTGGCCGGAAGTAGCCGATGTCATTTCAGCGTAGGCCGGCGAAAGGTCGTGACGAATCCAAAGGACGTCTATTGTCGATCCGACTAATCAATTCGCAAGGACCTATAGGGTTATTGATCCTAACGAGGTCATTATGGAAACGACGCCTCCTAAGCGCGCTCCCAAACCTTTCGAGCATTTCATAATGTGACGTGGATACGAATGGGACAGGTGTTTAAATTTGCAACAGCGTTCACAATGTGTTACCGTAACGAGGCTTTCAGACCCTTTAAGAGGCGAAATTTATGAAGGTAGCCAGAAAATTCAAGGGCGTGAAATACCACATACGTTCACTGGGTAAACGAGGGTGGCAAATGCGTTCATATTTAATGTCCACGGGTGTAGGTCGATGTATCTACCATCGACACACTCTCCCACAAGGCTACGGTTTCTTTAAACCAAAGGGAATTGAATTTGCTTCGCTGTTTACGAACTATTCTCTTAATACATGATCATCGAAGTTAGGTTAATGGTTAGTTTAGCTCGAAAACTCGTTGGTTGTTGCGGCAAGTCTCTACTCGAAAGTTAAGACCGCTAATTTTACAAGGATATTAAGGAAAGTTTATTCGACGCGGCCGCATGACCTGGTTTCTTGTCACTGATCGTGGTGCACGAATAATCTGATACTCAATCAGGCCTATAATTACACGTGACAGGCAATTTTCATGCGTCGAGCCGATTTTAAGTACCGTAAGCTGTGCTTTAAACTCCTGCACACGGCTAGCTTATCGACTAACTATCTTGGCTTGCCACTGATCCTCGTTTTACCATTTTGAAATTGGTCCCATCAACTGTTGGTACCATTATCTAGCAAACATTTTCCCTGTGTCTTCAAAGGACATTAGGCTCTTGAAGGGGACGGACGCTTCTAACACGGGGAGTTGTCTGTGCGTGCGTAACAGTATTTCCCCTTCGACGAATGAAAAAAAAGGGTCCTCGGAGGGGGCAGATTGGGTTAACAGAGGTGCTACTCCTCCTCCGGTCTTGTTTTCATTCGGCCAGTTTTCAAAGGCTACGCCCCTTTCCACCCGCCGCTAGCCGGGCCCTCGGCACGGGGCATGGCGAGCGGCGGGGGGAAAGGGGCGTAGCCTCTGAAAACTGGCCGAAAAGAGCAGTTAATTTCACGGAACTCCGGCCATGTGCCCACTAGGACCGTATGGACCTCCACGCCATCAGGTATTTAAGGCACATACAGCTCCTCCCCAGGGGGCGACGTATCTACGTTAAGAAAAATGTGCTACATGGTAATAGGTTCATCTTCTCCATACTTCACTATTCAAAGATAAAAGAATCCCAAGATCAGGATTGAAATGTATGCGTAGCGCAGACGTTTGGCAGCGTATCAAAAGGGAATCTAATCAAGGGTTGATCTACATAAATTCATTGTAGCAGCCGACGTGCGAAATATATTCCGTAGCTCGCCAATTCAGGTTCGATTTCGTGTCACTTCCGGCGGCGCGCGATCACTGCGCACGCACACGGTGGGCTTTTGCGTCACCAAGTGGAGAAAGAGGTACCGGGAACAGGAGGATTCTTGCGCGAATATCAACGAAAGATCGGAATTGGCTATTAAAAGTTCGCGATAACTTCCCGAAGCGGATAGCCGAGAGAGCCCCGTGTATTGGGAATCGGTTTCTTCGAATATACCGGGTGTCCTGAATCTATCTACGTACTGATGTAATGTTACAATCTCTTTTTAAATTGTTACTCTTTTGTTTTTGTTTCTCTGTCAGTCAGTTCGAAGAGTTATTCTTCAAATTTCTGGGATTGTTGTGACCGATATAATTATTGGAAAAAGTTGTGCGACTTTTGGACACCCAGTATACGCAGGTAGATCGCATAGTTGGATCGCGAATCGTGGCGGGTATTAGAATCGAAGTTGATCGCCGCGGGTGATAATTCTGTTATCGGTGGTCACGAGGTGTGCCACTGAAATTAACGTCCTTGTAATTAAACTTAACTCTGCGGTTGGCTGCTGCACGTAGCAACAACGTAGCGCTACGTTTTCGAGAAGTTGTCATTTCTACGCCATTCCAAAACGTAGTACTACGTGTTGGATGTAAAAAATTTGATCTCGCGCCCGCAATTATGAAATTCTGTCACCTTCAGGGTACCGTATCACGATTTTCGCATACCATTTCACGTCACGTACTACTACGTTGTCACAGAAGTTCGCAAGGATACGTCGTCCGATTTGAAAAGCGCGAAACACGCTTCCAAGCATTTTTCGCGTATCGAACAGCCCGAGGGCATTATTTTTCGTCACGTAGCCCGGTGTTTCGTCGTCCGGCGTTATTTCAGCGTGGTACAAGCGCGCCGTGATACAAAGGGAGCCGAGAATAGAGGCAACAAGAAGAAGAAGGAGGAGGAGATGGGGGTGGAGGATCCAGTGACGAAGAAAGAAGCGTTGGCCGCAGGACTTTTCCCTAATGTTTCATCGGGAACAAAGAGCCCAGGCCTCGAATCACCGAGACAATGCATCAGTCTCGAACTTTTGTTTAAATAATCTTGTCTTGGACCGATTGTTGTTGGATCGGGTGGAAAAATCTTGCGGTTGATTTCAAAGATACCCTCCTCCTTTTATTTAACCACCTTCCATTTCTCTGTTTACTGTGTCTGTTTCTCGAAAATTAAGGTCAGCCCGTATGTTTCTCTGTTGGATTAAATGTAATGACGTTTGGATAAGGCAGGGATTCAGTGTTATCTTTCTTCGTTCCTCAGCTTCAGGCTTAACTCATTCCAGGGTGTCGAGGTGTTTTTTGTAAGGCTAGGTGTTGCTACTTTTCCTCTAGATACCTTCTGTTTTTCTAGCCATTTTTCATCTGTTTTTATCTACTTTCACAACGATGTCTAAAGACGTAGTATTATAAATTATATTAAATTTGAAAATCCTTTCGAGTCGCGAGGCACAAAAGGTTTTCAATCCTCGAATAAATCGGATTGCTCGTGAAATCAGAGTTCAGGTATCGAACGAAAGGGGAAGATGCGACAAGGGGCGAGCGGGGATAGGGGTTGTACAGGGTCGATTTAAGGGGTGGCCACTTATCGAGACTGGCGTGTAACCACGGAGCTTGATTTACTGGCTCGATAACTGAACACCATTAATATCAACTGGGAAACGCGACCTGCGCATCCCACGTGCCATCTGGTTTTCCCTGTAAAGGCCACCAACACTGTTACACCCCATTCTTTCGACTGGTGCGCCGCGCTAAGAATTAAACCCCTCCGTTATCGTGGAATAAAATTAAGTTCCCTGGCTATCAAGTAACACCCTTGATGGCCCGCATTGCGACTGTAAAGAATTTTCGAAAATTTACTTATTTATTTTGAACATTTCCTAAAATATATATTGTATCCCGTCCGGCGGAAGTGGTACGTCAGATAGCGAAATGGCGGAGGCGTGTTTATGAATACTGATTTCCGGCCATTTTTAACACCCGACAAATACGCGAGTTTCATTGGTCGAAAGCGACGGAGAGCGGTTGAAATTATTTATTCACCTCGTCCCAGGCAACCCGTGGCGACCTTCCAAAATACTCGCTGAAGGGAGCCGAACAGCGGGCCGCCGATATATATTTCCACGGTCTGTCGAAAATTAAAGACATTGTTTCGTTCGTTTTATCCGCGGAATAATTTCAATTTCGAGTTAATCTGGTTACGCGGCTATTCGCGAAGGGAGCTCGAATATGGCGATGCTGCAACCAAATTGAAAAATTAATTTCATTTTTCTTTCACGTGTTTTACCTTGAACGTTTTTCATCGTACAACACGTAAACTCTCTTTTACCGTCCTCTGTGGCTCGGTTTTTAACAGCTCACTCGATACACGGAGGCAGTTTCTATGGATTATGGTTCACCTCTGTCGAACACCGCGGCCTGAATTAGCGATAATTAAACACGGAAGCTGCCTATGGAGCGTTTGAAATTTCGATGCTCCACCAGGAAAATTCTGTTGTACGTCCTTGGGTTTTCTGAATTCGGACGGTCTCGTGTCCTTGGCATAATATCGGATGACGTCAAAATAAATTATTAATTTGTGTCGTGGGAGGGAAAGGGATGGGGTAGCTTGAAAAATTCAGCGGTGAGCCCCGGGGTCAGGGGTGTAGGGGAATGACGATCGATCTTGGCCGAGAGTTTCAGCGGCTACACGGATATTCGCAAACACGTGTTCATAATTACCGACCCAGATCCGCGATACCTCCGGTTTTAGGGTTAATTATAAATGTTCTACGACGCGTTATCTTGGCCAGCGTCGCGATACCAGTCGCTGAAGCTACCCCCGACGGTATCGTCGAACCGGTTGATGGAACACGTCGGAACTCACCGAGCATATGAACTCTATCTCTCATACTGAAACGAAAATTACTTCCCCTGGTAGTCTCTCGTTTCAGAATAACTAAATTTCAAAATAAACCATGGAATAGAATCAGTTCCTCTCGCAAGAAATAGTGCGAAATAAGAGAAAACAGAGAGGGTGAAGAGTGACGTCTGTTGAATGTCCAGGAGGAAAATTTCGCCCGGCTGCTTCCGGTCTCGGAATATTTTCAGTGCAGCGGCTCGTGAAAGTGTTCGACAAAAGTCAGGCCCGGGGGAATGCAAATCGTGCTCGGCTCAAATGCGACCAGGATGGGGTGGCCACCCCAAGGAAGAAAGGGATGGGGCGGAAGCGGATCCTAGGGATTGCGAGCCAGGGGCGGTCTATGTAAATGCGGCCACCTTGTTGGAAATCAATTTTCGGCATGGGCTTTTATCATTGCCTTGTTCTTCGTCATCCGTGACGTGCCACCTGTAGAAAATACCTCGCCAATCGATTTCATTTCTTCCTTCGCCATTAAAAAAGCTAACTATGTCATTATCTTATACGTAGATTAATTACTTACAACCTCGTTTATCTTCTTACACGAATCCAAGCGGAATATTCTAAAATATCGAGAACCTTGATGAAGTGAAAAAAAATGAATGTTCTTCTTTATCGAACGACCATTATTTCCTTGGCAAAGCACAAAGGAAGATACGATTCTGTGTCACCGAATTCATTCCTTTCGATTAAGGACTCAGATTCATAGATTTCAAGAAATTAGAGGCTGAATATTCATGGTCTCATTATTTAGCCGTGAAAGGGGTGCAAGGATTGTGTTCAAGAATGCTGGTTCACCCGGAAACGAGGGTGCATACATATTTACGTGAACTGCGTCCGATTTTCCTCGGGTATATTGGGAGCATCGTTTCCGTATTTATGAAACCAACGAAGGCAAACATTTGCATACGTATGATCGGCTGCGACAGATGTGAATACCAGAAGGAGTCGTGAAAGAGTTAAAAAAAAAATTGGCGACTTAAAAAGAACGTCTGGGATATAGATACTGCAAAGTATCGTAAAAAGTCTGACCATAACAGAAGATACTTTCAACCCCCAAAATTGGAAATAAAATTAAAAATTTTCTGAACGCTAATGACGTGTTCAGCAAGTTTTCCGCATTAAAAAAAATCGCATGAAAGTGTTACCGTACGAATTTATTCATTTTCACCCCTTTGCCTCAAGCGAACCCTTTTTCACCGAAGGATTTCTTTCTGTACATTGATGTTGCACTTAAAAAAAACGAAAGAAAAAACGAATGTCTGAAGAGATCAGATCTTCAGCGCACAGACAGCCCTTTCCAATTTCAATTTTCCAGCCTGGTGCACCTGCCACCCCCTGCCAACCCCCTCTCGCACATGTCGCTGCTTAATTAAATGGATGCTCGCTGGAGGTTTTACAAACTCTGATCCACGGCAAGGTAGCTTTGACGCGACGTATCATCGACAGGAAAGTAATTAGCGACAGCCCCACATAGAGCCACCCCTTCCCTTCGTGGAAGGGAGGGGTGACATTAACCGTGCACACAACGATATTGATTAGCAGCGAACCACTCTTGTTTTTGGACACTTCCCTTCTGTGTGGTTACCAACTCTTGTTTGTTTTAAGAGGGTGGCAAAACTTTTGATCAGACCTTCCACCTTTGGACACCCTATGGGACCTTCGACCCTGAACATCCCCTACAATTCGTCCGATCGATTGGCCTGTAACTACACCGACTGTTTTTTGGTCCACTGAAAATTGTAACAGAGTGTTCAATTTTTCACTGTGTCACCAGAGTCTCAATGGGGATGGACCAGTAAAGTGTTGCTGTAAATAATATAAGGGATGTTTTTTGTATCAATCCGGGTCCATTGAATTTGAGACGAGTTACGTGGATTCATGCTTGCCCTCTTTATTGCTATAAATTTCTACTTTTGGAAAATCGATCCGAATCTCGAAGGACGCTTCGAATTATTCCCCCCCCCCCCCCCCCCCCCCCCCCCGAAGCTGTCGATCGAATTCACATACATAATTGAAATATCGAATAATATACGACAGACGGGGCGAATATCTATGATACCCAATGGACAGCTAACGAACGGAGAATTAGCGTTTGTAAATTTCCCAAGGGACGATTCACCTTTCCCTCTTGTCAGTAGAACAGGTGTTACAAAATCACTGGAAACGTTTTCCCCAGCAATATTGTAAAAATTCAACGCGCGTGAAAAAAAAAACACCCAACTAACACGTTTTTGCAAAATGGATAAGTTCCAAGTGGTCTCGAAATTAAAAACAAAGTTGAATATTTTCACCGATGGAAATTAAAGGATTTCTAAATTAATTTTTACGATAAACTCATTTCTATGAGTGTCGGAGGATTCGCGTTCAACAACTATGTTAAACTTCTAAGTACTTTGCATTCGGGGAATGAAAAAAAGAGGGAACATTATAGTGTTCGGACTATACGGTTGCACGGAAGTTTTCCAACGACTCTGACGTGCTTCCCGGCCTTCAGAGGCTGCCATTCTTCCTCCAATATTAACAGGGCAGGGATGTTACGGAGTGGGGGAACTTTTATCCGAACTTCCACGCGAAATTGCCTCGTCCCTGTTTCGATCCCCGATGCGCCGAGGCGGATTTGCTTCGCGAATCTTGTCAATCTTTTTCGTCTCTTTGATGATACAGTTCTCGATGATACAGGCGTATCAGAAAACAATAAGAGTCTGGAAATTTTGCCTGTCATTCCCAGACGAATGTATTTCCCTTTCCCAATCTTCAGATTATAATTTAAAACTTGCGGAGCCAATAATTCCGTTAGATAGCGCTGTTTTTGTCAGTAACTGATGCTAGGGATCCCTAGGAATCGATGCTAGGGATCACTAGGGACAGATACTAGGGATTCCTAACGACCACTGCTAGGGATTACTAGGAACCAATGCCAGAAATCACTAGGGATCGATGTTATGGATCACTAGGACCAATACTAGGGATCCCTGGGACCGAGTGGAGGGAATTAGTGACATGAACTTCATCTCTCCTAAAATTTTCACCATTTCCGCGCGCTATATTATATTCCGCGGTTGAAGAAAACCTCTGTCAAAGCGAATAATGTTGTGAGGAACGCCAGGATTCCATGGTTACCGAGTAGCCCGGGAAACTAGAATGTTATGAAAATTCCCGGGTCCAATGTAATACAGCGTGCATGGAATATTCAAGTCCCGTGTCTGACTCCTGTCTTCCATTACCACTGGTTCGCTGGGAACGGTACAAAGTGTGGAGCCGTCTGACTTGGGCGGTCCGTTACTACTGCAGCCTGCGTCTTATACTACTCATCCGCGGGTGGATGTGTCTTGGCTCGACGTGAGCGGAATATCGACTGTCTTCGGCTCGTTTCTAAGCCCGATGTGACAAACTGTAACACTTTAGTCACCCGTCCGAACGTTTTTATCTTGGAAATGCGACTGTCGTCGTTTCCAGAGGGCAGAGGAAAAATTTGAAACCCTGCTAGAGCCCGAGGGATGAACAAGGACTAATTAATTCTGAGGACTCACCTGAAATGTAATGGCGTCCCGCTCGATCTGAGACATGTTCTTGAAGATGGTGTTGATGATGTTGAGAAACTTGTCGCGTTCCAGGAAGCTCGCTTGGTCCTTCTCGAAGAAGTCGATGAAGTCGTAGAGGATGAAGTAAGTTCCTGGAACAAACACATTCAACCAGGTTAGAACATGCAATTTTAAACGTTAAGACTTAAAAGGAACAAGAAGGAGCAGCATGGCAAGGATCTTGTGCAGCTGTAAAACACAAAGTAAACTTAGGCGGCAAAGAACACGATCAATAAATCAAGCGTATCTCTGAAAAAAGATACATTTTATCCCCCCATCGTCTTGCTTCGTACCTCTATGCTACTTCTTTTCATCGTTTACGCGCGCAACGCCGGAAGTATGCAAAAACCATACTGAGACGAGGCTGCCTTTCAGATCCCACAGGGTGACTATCCCTTAATGCGTATACACGCGCAGAATGAAAGATACCCTGTCGAACCGATACCACTAACATGTCAACCTATTTGCTTTGTAAATATCTCGTCCACAATCCGGCTACCCTCGTCTTATAAATGGTACCCACGTCATCCCAGTGAAATATGAATTTCTCCACCGATACTTCAAGCTTGTCCTTTCGTAACTATACGTCTCTTTCAAATATGTTATTTTTGGGGAAACGAAAACTGGCCTTCGTCTTATCTAAACTAAAAAGTAGTGGCAACAATAGTGCCTTAAGTTTTAAGTCCGTCCGTCCTTTCAAGATCAACTGACATGTACGTCCTTGGAGGATAATGGACAAAAGGTTTACGTTTGGAAGGAAAAAGTCTCCCTGGAATCAGTCGATAATTCGTCCTCAGTTTCGGGATACTGCTTCCGGGACTCGCCGCAAACGGAGTGACGGTACGATGTAAAAGAACTCAATTATCCGGCGGGTTCCTCGAGGATATTCGAGATTCCCCGAGGCTCGAAGGGCTCTCACGACGAGAAGAAGAAACAGGGACAGGGAGAACGGAAATTGAAGGAGACAGAAGCTCGCCGGGGCAAAAGATATTGCGGGAGGGAGGAGGAGGAGGAGGAGGTGGAAGACCGCCGAGGGTGGAACAAAGTGGTGGGTCGAGGCTAAGTAGAAGCAGCGGGAAGTGGGGGTGGAGAAAAAAGAAGAGCGTAGGTACGTGAGAAGCAGAGAGATCGAGAGGTTGCCTCGCGGGAACGAGGGGTGACTGGAAACGGGTTAAAAAAAGAAGAAGGGAGTTGCAAGGTTAGACGAGTCACGCCTCGACACGCTCCTTCCTATCGATTCACTGTTGGCAACTTGTTGGCTGCCCTCTGGTCTCGACAATTTTCACGGGAATCTTGCTCCCAGACGGCGGAAGTTGGATCAGCCACCCCTACCCTTCCATTACCCTTCTGTTTTTCCACGTGGCATGTTGACAGGGAGGAGGCTCAAGGACGGCCTTAACGCGTTGTTGATGTATCAACCCGTCCGATGTTATTCGGTTACCAATTCGTTCATCTAAGTGAATTTTGTGGGGACTCGTGGAAGGTGCTGTGCGTGCCTCGCAAGAAGGCACTTGGAAGGAATGCAGGTCCAATTGGTCGTGCCAGAATTTTTTGGCGTGGGTGGTACGAGTCCCACACTGGTATTTCCCCTCTAATTGGTCGTGCTCCCACTTCAGGGGTGCTGCTCTTGCTATCCCAATTGTCTTCTCTTAAGGCATGCACAGTAGGGACTAAATTCATTGGGAATTGAACCCAAGACTTTGCTATGTTACCACTAGCCCACTGTCGTCCCTACTATTACCGCGCCACCCCTAGCATACTTCCACCCCTAGCCTACTGCCACCCCTATCGTCGTTTCCTCGAGCACTTTCCTTCATTGGAATATGCAACACTGTGGAAGCAGACGTAGCATTTTTATCGGAACACGGGGTCAAAGGTCGTTAAAAGTAGGAAGGTGATAGGGGAGGAAGTGCGTAAGCACCCCAGCGAGCAAATTGCAAAGCACACTTTTCTTTATTGCGAACCGTCACGATAACGAAGTTCTTTCCATCGGTAAATACAGACGCGAGATAAGGGAGGGGAGAAGTTTGAAGAGGTAGATTACAAACGGAAGAAGGCAAAGTTCGGAAGCGTCGGTCGATCGAACGGTGAGATAGGGAAGGGCTTTTCGAAAGCGAAGCGTTCGTGGAAAACCGCAAACAGAGACAGCACGTTGCGAAGTCCTCGCGAAACAGCTTCCGGCTGGTGAAACTCAACCCCTCGCGGCTTTCCAGTAGTAACTACTCGCATTGATCAGACATCCCACGCTAGGGACTCAACAGCCAACTGCCGAACCTCCTGCTCTTCTTCTTGTCTTCTATTCTATCCTGCTGTTGACGTTTAATACACATCTCTTCAAGAACTCCGGAGGGCAAAAAGAAGAAACCTTGAAGAAGAAAATGAAGATGCTCTTATTCATCGAGGAGGAAAAACGAGAAGAGGAAATCAAAAATGATTCTGCTCGAACATCGTTGTTCCGTTTTGTCGTGAAAAATTCGTCGGGTCATGAATTTTTCACGCGTCTCCCCAACGTGGGAGATACATAAATGAAGAAGAAGCATCGCGAGAGCCCGTCGCATAAATCTTTCCGTCGTTAATGTTGCCCCGTTAGACCTTCTTCCTCTCTTTCTCTGTACACCGAGGAAAATAAGAAGCCTCCGTCAGGCAGGGTTCGGGCGTAGGAAAAACAGAAGGAAAAGTTGGAGCAAACTGTTCGTACAATGCCTGCATGTTATCTCCATCCTGCTGTTACAGTTTTCGCGGAGGAACACGGTGTAACGATGACTATGAATTTATGCTACACGAGTCACATAAAGTTACTCCTTAGTGGCACGATTATTAAGTTATCACAGGAGATTTTAATTTGCAATTAGTCGAGTTGTTACTTCGGAACTCGATTAATAATATTACAAGGTCCTGAAACGAATTACAACTTTAGCCAGCCGAGCGAATGAGCTGTTTAATGCAACCCCTAACCGAAAGGAGTGGTTTCTAATTTATTCCTCGCGAAGATTTCTTTTCCGGAGCGATGTTTTCGCGGAAGCGTTCGTAAATCGAGTTCCATTGTTCCCTCGTTTGCTTCTGTAGTGGAATCTTGTTTTTCTAGAGCGTGGCAAGCCAGCTTTGTATCGAGCATTTCTACAAACGCGATGTCTTCTCTACCTCCATCTCCGAGAGCAAAAAAAAAATATAATTATTCCTTTGTCGTTGAACGGTCGAGGAAAACGCGCTGCTATAATGAACAGAACAAGTGTGTCTTTTCGCGAATTCTTTTACTGAGTCTTGTGTCTTTGAAAAGCTATAAAGGAGCGCAAAAAGATTATGGTCCACTGGACTTATTGTTATATGGGTCATCAATGACCCGTATTGTTAAAATAAATTAAAGGAATTTCTGTCCATCTCTGAAGTTACGCTAGTGATTTGCAGTACTGTGTGTTCAATCTTCTCGAACACTGAAGTATTTGTAACTAGATCCTTCATGGGGTCAATTTACCACCGGTCTGACACGATATTGCAGTTAACATTCAGAAACGTGGCAGGTTACGTTATCGCGTGTCTCGTATCCGCCCTAAACAGCAATATTAATCGCGATCGTGTTCTAAGCCATAAACCGAATAGTAGTTTCGCTAGTTCCCTCACTTCTGCCTATTCGAGTAGTTTGTCGGCCATCAGAAACTTCCCTAGCAGTGTTACCAACTGCGGCCGAGATCCCGGCTCTTCACTAGACTCGTCGAAATTGGTCCAAGTTTTCTAAAGCATCGAAACAATCTCTTGATTTTGCTTCCGTTCTCTTTTAACCCCTTCGTTTTCTATTATCTGCAATGTTATGGCTTTTGTTGGCAAACTGAACTGTATCGCTCTCGAAGCAGTATAAAAAGGATACAATTCTTTATGTTTCCGCGATATTAAGCGACGTTAAGTGGTAGAGTTTTGAAAGGAAACTTGGAAATTTCGTTTGCAGTCCGATGATGGCTCTACGCCGTTTTCCGCGTCGCTGACAGCAGCGCGATTTCATTTCCGACGACGAAGAACGATGTCTCTGACTGCGAGTCGAGTTGAAGGGTAGATAAATTACCCCGGATAAATTGCTGGAATGGGCTAACGCGTCTGCTTCGCGTAATAAAGAAATACCTCTTGCTGGAATACAAAAGTGAAATTCTTTGTGGAAAACGAATGTTCAAATTGCAGCTTCAAAGAGGGACATGGTTTACTATGTGAGAATAAATCATTTTAGGTCTTTGGGAACAGGGGACTTAAGTGCTGTGGCTGGGTCGGCTATTTTAATGGCATGATCAGCAGCCCAGTGGTTCTCCAATTTATAGCCGTCCCCCTTTATTTTGACTATAGTACCACCAGGTCACTGTTGGTATTAGTTTACATGAAAGGCCGATCAGTCCAGATCAGTACTTGGCTTGGGGATGGGTCAGTACCTAAGATTGACGCCTTGGTAGTGGCTCATTCCCCTCATCCCAGAAGCCTACTGCCACCTCTGGCTTCATATGCCACCATTTGCGCACTGTGGTCCGTACCTCAACTCTACTACACCTGCCCCACACCTTCTACCTTAACTGAGTCATTACCAATCATGGTCATCTTCATCTTTATGATGTCACCATCAGCCCCCTAGTGTTATCGCCAGTCCACAACGAGTTCTTGTTTCATTATTCGACTCCGAGTGTATACAAACCCGGATTTTACGTTTTATGAACATAAGAGGAGTACTAAATCCACGGGTCAACTGACGAGAACCGAGGATGGCCGAATTCATCGACGATAACGAGGAAGAACTTTCGGACGCGGAAAGTTCCCTGACCATCCCGTGTCCGTGCAGTTCTAATTGACCGAGAAACAGTCGAAGCTTTGTATTACTCACTGCTCGGTCCAGCTGAAATGGAATTGTCGGATCGGCGATTCTAGTTCAATGTGAATTCAGCAAACAACCTACTTGTACGCTGGCCGCCATGTTGCTTTACTTAAAACTTCAGCCGGCTGATTAAAGCGATATTGTTCCCTGGCTTAGCGAGCTGTTTTTCAGCTATAACCAGGAATTTCCTCCTCTTTGGGAAAATTAGAACGTTAATTAAATGAACGGAGAGCGCTAATCCGAACGGAA